GATTCAAATCTTACACTTTGTTATTTATGTGATTGTCTGCATTTTCAATTCAAGCCTATGCCACATATAAACAAGAATTGTGTTTGGCTTTCTGTTGCATCCCTAATAGTGAGCACACTACATATCCCTGTGACTTTGAGTCAGCAGGTGGAAAGCCATGCAGCTCCACTTAGCTTCTTTCTACACTCTGTTTTCACCTCCATGGGAGCAGTTTGGAACAGGATATTAGCTCATGAAGCCGCCTTCCCAGAACTTCATTTTAGCTAGGTGTGGCAGCATGCCTGAAATGCCAACACTGAAGAGACTAAGGCAAGGGGACTGTTGTAAGTTCAAAGCCAGTCTTAGCTACAGATTAAGACCCTGTTGCTATGGATGGTGGTGGCACAAGCCTTTAATCCCAACACTTGGGAGGCAGAGGCAGGCAGATCTGTGTGGGTTCAAGGCCAGCCTGGTCTATAGAGTGAGTTCCAGGACAGTCAGGACTATACAGGAAAACCCTGTCTTGAAAAACCAAAAATCAATAAATAAAAGACCTTGTCACAAAACAGCAAAAATAAACTTTTTAATACTGGTGGGCTGGAAAAGTAAGGCAGTTTTTATACCACGGTGTGTGTGTGTGTGTGTGTGTGTGTGTGTGTGTGTGTGTGTGTGTGTGTGTATGTGTGTGTGTGTGTGTGTGTGGTGGTGTTGGTGGTGGGCGGGAGTACGTCTTTTTATATTACCAGTGGTGACATGGTCAAATATCTGTAAAACAATTCCAGACATGATCCATGAATAAGGAGAAACACGGGGTAGAACTTGTCACCAAGCTTTCTGTTTTCCCTAACCAGGTACACCTCTAAACCCGAGAAACGAAGAGTCTATGCTATTTTTCTTAAGTGGCCCATCTCAGGAAAGCTGTTTCTTGGAGAACCTGTGGCTAGTCTGGGGGAGACAGAGGTAAGAAAGAACTTTATCCTGACTATTCCTTTCAATTGCTGACGAAAACAGGCTGGGGAGAACATAACTTGTTTCAACGTCGAGGGGAAACTTTCCTGTGGTCCTCTTGGGCCTAAGACAAAGTGACTTTAAAATGAGCTCAGGCAGTTGCAATAATGGCAACTAATGTTCAGCCACCGTTTTGTGAAATTCTAAGAAAACTGAATTTACGAACGACAATACCTCCATGCATAATGACGTACAACAGGCATGATTCTTCATAGTTCCTCTGTGGTGTTCAAGGTCACTCCATGCATTGAAAATGAGTTTTTCATAGAACTTGAATTGCTTCCCCCAAACACCACACCAAGAACATATCTGAATCAAAGTAAGGTGTTATGGTTCGTCTGTCATAACTTAAGGCTGTCGTCAGACCCAGTGGAGTGTGCTGTGATATATCTTGGGGTCCTTGAGACGCTGGTCATCTTTTTGGAGTGAAGTGTCATGTGAATTTCCTTGGGTTACCTTTCCACATTTTATTTCCAACACTGGGGGTTGACCAGGCTGAAAGAGAGATTTCAAATCCATGATTAAAGCACAACCTCCACACCTGGATATGGCAGCAGCTATCTTTTTTATCTTGGTCTTGCACGCCATTAATTAGTACAATTAAAACTTAGGGGTTTTATTTTGTATTGATCCATGTGATAAAGTGTTATGGTTCAAATAACTCTTGAGTATGTACAGAACTACTTATGTGAATTCACTTTGTCTGAACAAGACCAAGACTGCAAAACAATCCTAGGGATCATTGGTTGAATTCATATGCTACTGACCAGTGGAGGTCACTGGAAAACCTGACAGTCGGGGCTGACCAGGAGAAAGAAGTATTTATTCAAAACAGTGTGTAAGAACTGGGCTGGCATGAATTGGGCAAATTGCACCCAATTATGTCCTATCTCTCATCCCCTCTTCAGCTCTGGCACTCCATTCTCCTTTCTCAATCTCTGTCCATGTTGGTTTACCTCCTGAGGGTGACGTGGGAACAACCGGAGGAAGATATAAAATGGCACGTGAGTGCCAAAGGTAAAAGCAGACCTCTGTCTGTACTGTTTTTAGAAACTCGGTCACTCCTTAGAAAGCAGATGTTGCAATGATGTACTTGGGAACATCTGTACATTATCCATGTTTCCAATTACAGGTAGAACTACTGGGCCACGGGCAGCCACTAACTTGGACGTCTTCAAAGCCAAATGGCATCACAGTGGAGTTGCCACACCTAAGTTTTCATCAGATGCCCTGTCAATGGGGATGGACTCTCACACTAACTAATGTGACTTAACCTGCAGCTGAGAGATGTATGCCACAGGTAACTCTAACCCCAGGTTTTTTTTTTTTTTTTTTAAAGGAGCACTAATGAAATTGTGGTAAAAATGGTAAGAAAAAGCTACTGATTAGGCAATGTAGCCTCCTTCTTTCCTAAATTGCTTATGTTACTGTAGAATATTTCAATGCTTTCCTACTAAGTCTCTTCTCACATAATTCATTTCACCTGTCAATCACAGGTGGCAATCTGTTCTAGAGAATGTAGAAACTGATGATGTTATGGACTGAATTCTCTCCCAAGTCCTATTCTTAGACAGAAGCCCTAACACCACACTGTGGCTGCATTTAGAAACAGAACACTTAATGAGATGATTAAGATTAAACCAAATCATAAGGCTAGCTTTGATGCAATGGAATTTGGTGTCCTATACGAGAAAGAGACAATAAAGATGCAGGAGTCCAGGGGAAAGCCGTGTAAAGTCTAGCAAGAAGGCAACCATCTGCAAGCCAAGGAGAATGCAGAAGAAACCAGATCTCCCAACACCCTGATCTTGGACTTCTGACCTCCAGGACTATGAGAAGAGTAACTCCCTGTTGTTGAAGCCATTCAGGATGTGTTTGATCTCTCCCCACCCACTCAGTTATGAATCCTCATATATAATGCAGGCAGTATGTAATAAATTTGGTTGGATGTGTTTTTCCAATGAATTCAGTAATTATCTTTTCATTGTAAAGACTTCCCTCTTATTTATAAAACTAATTGCTGTAGACATTTAACATTAATATTAAAGATACATTAAGATCTTAATATATATTCTCCCAATTTGGAGATAGAGTGAGATTGGAGGACTGGGCTTTTAATAAGGGCTAAAACTTAAGGTGCAAACCTAGTTGACAATTGGGAAGGGTTACTTTCTTTGGCTGTGATGAAACGCCATGACCCAAAACAATTTATAAAAGGAAGTTTATTTTGGCTTACAGTGTCAGAGGGAAGAGTCCATAATGGCATAGAGGTATAGCAGCAGGCAGGCAGGGCAACTGGAGATCCTGTTGTCAACTACAAGCATGAGGCAGAGAGTGAACTGGCTAGGGTGGGGCTCCACACCAGGAAAAACTTCGTTTTGCTTTTGTTAAGTTAAAAACACTACTAGATTAAAAATTTGCCAGCCTTATTTCCTTCAAAATTTTACACGTGTAATTACATTTATTATGTTTTGAAGGAGAAACAAGTAGAAGGCACTTAGTGTCCATTTAGCCAATGCACTAATTAGCTGATGCTCATTTCCTGCTGACTGATGTCTAGGATAAGCAGAGGTTTTCAGTGAACGGCACACCCTCCACTTCCATTCCCACGGGTGGTGTGTGTGTACCAAAGCTTAGTTACATGGCTGCAATGGACTGAATATGTCCATCTCGAACCTACAAAAGGTGATCTTGGAAATGAAGTCTTTATAAATGTAATTAAGTTTTGAAAGCAGCTCATATTGGATGGGGGATGGACTATCCTTAGACCTTAGAAAAAGACACAGACACATAATTAGGTCATATTTCTACAAAAGAAGCAAGGAATGCTTGCTGAAGGGGACATGCAAACAGAAAGATTTTCTGAGAGCCTTCAGAGTAGCACAGTCCTGTTAATACCTGGTGTTAGATTTCACACCAGACATGAGAGAAAAGAGTTTTGATGTTTCAAGTAATCCAATTAACAGTAATTTGTTACAGCAGCCCTCAGAGACTAATACAAATTAATTATGCCAGTGGAATATTTGATTATCTCGATTGTGTAAGCTAATGACTGGAGAGCTGCAGTTTTCTTCCCAGCTAAGTTAAATACTGTGGAATGACTAGATGAAAGGGTGTTGCCTTTCAACAAAAAGATAAAAATAATAAAAAACAACCTATTGGTTCAATGTGAAATAGTAGCAAAAGATGGAGAAGTATAAAAAAAGCTACATGAGTACTGCATGTGATTTGTACCAGAAAGACAATAGAGAATACCCATCAGTAGACTTACAGAGAAAAATGTGTCATTACTACTGGGGACACAGTGGACACACCCTGAAAAGTGAGATGAAATACTAGGGGAAATATTTGCTAATTAAGAGTGTTTGGATTTTAAGTTAAAATGTCTAAGGATTTATGATAGCCCATTTTAAATCACTTTCTAGGTTAACCAAACTGTTTCAAAAGAAGCAAATTAGTAATATGCAATGTCAGTTAACTTTAAATACATAGGTTAATGTCAGTTAACTTTAAATACATAGGTTATTTATTTCGTTTCTTTTAAACCTTGCCACCTCTTCAATGGTCTTGACTCTACAGATGCTGATGAGTACAGGTGATAATTTTCTGCCGAGTAATTTTCTTCTGACAAAGCTGTATCTACACAATCTCAAAGTTTCCCTGATGTAAATCTGGGGTATTTTTGGAAGTGATGCATGTCTTATTCCACATACACATTTCCTGTTGTTCCAAAGTGCAATTACCTTCTCAATTAGAAATGACAATATCAGTATATCTCATCAAATTTAAAAAATGTGTCCCCTTTGTCATCTTTATACATGGTTGTTTCATTACAGAGCTCAGCTAAGCTTTAGGACGCTCTGCACAATTCATTTTCTACCATCTCCTACTTAGCTATGTTATATTATGTGGGAGGGACATAAAACTATGTTCTAAAAACCATCTATTACTGAATATAGCTAATCCATTGCTGATACCTTAATGCCCCTCTAAATGAAGAACCACACATATACTAGCGACAAGGAATAATTTACTTTTATTTACATTTTTTTCTGAAAGAAAAATAAAACAAGTTAGAAGAAAGCACCAACTATATACCACTTGAGACTTAAAACTAGCATGCTCTCTTAAAAAAAAAAACAGCAAAAATATTACTAAATAACAAATAAATTAATGGCTGCAAAGTATTAACTGAACAAAACTATATTTTATTAAAATAGTTTATTGCAACAAGTTATTGTACTCAAAATCAATACAAAGTTATTCAAATTATTTATACACAAATGAATAAAACTCTGTAATTAATAATTGTGAGTAAACATGAACATAACATTAGCCTATAAATCTATATGCAACTTTCTGAGGGTTGCTAAGAAAGCTTTAGAAAATGCTGCAAATAAATATTGAAGAAAAAATAGCAAAGAAAAAAAATAGTTGATCAGAGGTTTTAAAGTTCACTGATTTCTAGAAGATAAGCCCTCTGTCAAGGTGTGTGGGACAAATCATGTGACTGGAGAGAATCTGGCTTTTACTTACTTCAAAGTCCAGGAAACTTCATGATTAGTTAAACATTATATTTTCAGAGTCCATACATCCTAGATCTACTTTTCAAAACAGATTTTCCCTCATTATATGTGTGAAAGGACACCACATTCCATTACATGTACATATAAAACTATCTACTTTGTTTGGATCAGCTATCCAGGTTGTAACAGATCATGAATGATCCTGGGGTTTGTAATTTGTGCACCAATTAGATACACCTGATGAAGTACACTACTGATGAATTAAAAATACAATAAGGTGCCAAATGAATCTACTTCCTTATGAAATGAAGACTTTGCTTAAGAATATATTTTATTAGGCATTTTTGGTTGCAAATTGTCACTCTTGGTATAGGTGATTTATTCAGAGTACTTTTCAATGTAGATGAATCCCGCTTTAGCTTTTCTTGAAAGGAAAAATCATTTCTCCAGTTGTTGGGGGGTACTAAAAGCTTCATACACATTAGCAGCAAAGTCTTTTACTTGCTCCATCATCAAAAGATCCTAGCAAAAATGGTAACAGTACAGTTAGTAAGACATGACCATTTCTACAAGCAATGCATCTATCTTGAAGCTTTGTGTACTTAAGAATGAGAAGAAACTAAGGAAAGGGATGTTTTTCTTAACTAACTTGTAGGAAATACTGTTTAGTTTCTTATTTCTAGAAAATATAGCAACTGATTCTTAAATATGTAGTATATGTATATTTTATATAAACACATATACAGGAACCATGCACATCCACTTTATAGCAAAGGTTCTCACTCTCCTGATGGTGACTGTAAAGGTGTGGGAGGAAGTTACCTTTTATTTTAATCAACTGAAATGTCGTGTTTCCTTTAAAGAGGACCACAGGCCTCAAAGTACATCAGTATTAAATGAGAAAAGGGAATTTGTATTCAATATAAACCAGACTCTTTCAAAATTTCCTATTACACTTGTGGATGTTATTAGTATTTCCATTACATTTTGTCATTTAATTTAGAAAGAAGAAACATTGCTCTCTCCTAAACTTAATTTTAAGTGTATTTTGAAAACTAGGTGTTTTCCTTTAAAATGATAGAAAGTAAAATGATTGCATCTTTTCCTGTCTGTGCTTGTTTTGAACATCCACAGACCTCTTACAAGTGTAAAATAAAGTCAGTACTCAAGTACTAGGATATTTTTGCTTGGTTTTTGAAACAGGGTCTTGCTGTACAGTCCAGACTGGCCTTGAATTGGCACTCCTGCCTCAGCTTCTGAGCTAGGATTATAGATGTGCATCACTACACCTTGCTGCTGCTTATATTATTTTAATGTGTAAATGAAAAGTACATAAATGTCTCAAGCTTAGAGCTTTTCCATAACTAAAAACCAACACATAAGCAGGGCACAGTGACACATCCTGAAATTCCAGGGACTCTGGAGACTAACAGAGGAGACTTACACATTTGAATGCATCCTGAACTACTCACAAAAATAAACAAAAAAACTACATTTACTATAAAATGGAATCTACCCTACAAAACCCAACAAACCTTCACTAAACAAAGCCGATGGTTACTAATTCAAGCTTTTAGTGTCAATATGGACCTGCCTGCTACCATTCATGTTTTTATGCATTCAGTCTGCTTCTATACCTGATTGGCTTGGTAGTCTATTAAAAAACATCTGTTCTAACTGCTCTAGAACCATTTGCATGTGGGACTGATTACCTGACTTGGCCTTCATATGAATGATTGTCCTGTTGTTTTTTTTCCTTTCCCCTGCAGTGTTCTCCTTAATTCAAAAGCACAGTTTAACACTACGTGGGGTCAACAAGAACATGCACATAAAGACAGATATGTGCCCTAAATTCAGGGACTTTTTATCTTGCAATTGATGCTGTGTGGGTTGAGTTTTCTAGTTCCCTAGGAATCAAATAAACTTCCCCCTCAACTTCTTGGCCTCCTGACGTCACGTCTCTAAATCCTGAAGCAACACTGATTGAAGATCAAAGCCTGTCTCTTTGAGCAGCCGGACTGAACAGCTGAAGCTGAGCATGTCATGGGAGAACATGGGTCAGGCTCATAGCCTGTATCCCTCAGGGTCAAAGGGGTTTCAGCCTTCACTATCATGGATCCATATGCAGTTTGGTGATGCTTGTGGACCCTTATTCAGAATCATGACTACAAATGCAGACAAAAAAAACTTATACTTTTTTATTTTGATTATCAGGCTTAAAAGTATAACTGATTAAAATGTAAAGTATGAATTACTCAAGCCTTAAAGCTGTGGTTGCTGTATTATATATATTCTGTTGTATTTCTCATGAATTTGTCAGAATGGATGTCTATAGGTCATTCTAGAGATGTTGGCAGAAGCAGAAAAACTGTGAGCCTTATGGTTCAGTGACATGCCATCAGGCTCCTTTACTGTTTCTTCTACAGTGTGAATGGCCAGCTCTTAGCGGTGGGAGGCATGACTAGAGAGAACAGGGCAGGGCCCCCTGGATGTAAAGAATGGGCTAATGACTGGACAGGCCAGGAAGAAGCTCAGTCCTTAAGCAGGGGTACTCTGCACTGTGCCACGAGGGCAAAGTCTACTTAGAAACACATAGAAACAACTGTTTCCAACCATGACACTAACAGACATCACATGTGCATGCAGGCAGGCCTTAGACTCTGCATGGAGCTTCACTGTGGCACTTTGTCACTGAGGCATGTTGTAAAACACTTGAAACTTACAACAGAGTTCCCAAGTTGTCAATGACTGAAAACAGTACATAGGTTCAAAGTCATCCTTTTAATAAAATGCTATTCCAAATAAAATTTGAAGAAAAGAATGGAGCTGTAAGTAGTCTGACGAAAACTTTGCATACATTGTGATTATGCTTTAGTGAACAGACTATTGAATTAACAGCTGTTTGTGAGATGAAAACACCTTATTCTGGCACATTTTTTTCAGTTTCTTTCAAACTGAAGAACTGCATTGTTAGTGCAGAGCATAATGCTACACAGATCTGGCTGACCCTCAGGACATTTGCACCACAGCACAGTCTAACTAGAGTCAGATGGCGTGGGAAAGGTATTGCTATGGATTTGCTGTCAAGCATTGCTGCTCTTTCGAGCATGCTACCACTCTGAATACGGTTGCAAGCTTCTGTTTGCAGCAAATTATCACAGCAGGAATGTACGTTTGTGTTGGAAACAGCACAGCATGAACAGAGCTTGTTTTCAATATTCCCAAGCTTCCTGCTTACCTGCACGAAATGACTAGGCGTTTCACTGCAAACTGAATGGATCTGTCCGTTTACTATGGGGATTATCTTAGCTAAAGGCAGGCTGACACTGGACAGACTGAAAAACAAAACAAAACAAAACAAAAAAACCACATTACCACAGTTATTTTCTGAAATTGTATCATAGGCATTAACATTTTAATTATAAAAGTATGCACACATCATTGAAAAATACTTACATAAGTGTTAATAGAAAAAACAACTTCCTCATCTAAAAATAACAACTATTGTTGACTTCATGGATATTTCCTTCTAAGCAATTTTTATTATTTTACAACTTAAAACTCTATCAAGCATATTTTTGTTACAAGTGCCTTTCATAAATTCTACATCTCTGTCCCTACAATGTCCCTAGCTTCTTAGAGCTGGCACTAAAATTCTTGCCCACGTTTTCTTACTACTTAAGTGTCTGTCTAAACATGGAATGTAAGGTCTGCAATATCCACTGCCAGAGACCTCCGGTCCCTTTCCTGGTGTGGAATTCCTGCACCTTTACACCATTAGCCTCTCTTCCACATCACACACTGTGCATCTCTGTCTGCCTGTTATTTCTGGGACTTCAGTCCATTATCTAACCAGGTTACCTTTACTATCACTTGACAGGCTTAATACCAACAAAACAACTGTCTTTCAGTCTTCAGTGGGGTTGCTATAGTATTTTGACTATATTTATAGATTAATTTTAGGAGAAGAATTTAACTCCTTTAGTTAATTTTCCTGGGTTTGTTATTGTCACACATTATTTTTCCTATTAAAAACAATCTTACATTCTTATGTAAGTATATAATGTATGTATATGCTTATGAAAGTATACATGTAACTTAGGAAATTAAGAGTCAATTAACAATTTATTAGTTGTCTGGCTTAAAGATAAATATAGGAAAATTCAATGATGCTCCTAAATTTTTATCTCCAGAAGTTGTCTTTCCTTAGCCTTGTCACAGTCATTGAAAAAAGCAAAAATGCAATGCTGAGCATCCCAATACAGATGATCTTCATGCTGTTTCTGAATTTAATAAAAGTCAACCTGTTTAGTCAATGAGTATATTTGCTTTTGATTCCAATTTTTTATTGTATCAAATTTTAATTATAATAAGATGCAATAACTTTCTTATTCTATGCCTTTTCAACAGCAGTGAAGATGATTTGTGTCCTGCTAACATATTTTTATTAATATTTTATTTATTAGTGTATATGTGTCCATGCGTGTGTTCGTGTGAGCACACGAAGGTCAGGGTACAACTAGAGGGTCAGTTCTTTCCTCACACCACGGAGGTTACAGGGATTGAAGTAGGTCAGCAGACTTGGCAGCAGGGGCCACTACCCACAGAGCCATACTGCAGGCCTTGTTTTATTAATATATTATTGTTATAGTTTACTGTAATAGTTTTCCTAACACTTTAACCCTTCTTTCATTCTTGATATTATTTCTAATTAGCTATGATGTTGAACTATAAAATTCTATATTCTGGCCGGGCGGTGGTGGCGCACGCCTTTAATCCCAGCACTCGGGAGGCAGAGGCAGGCGGATCTTTGTGAGTTCGAGGCCAGCCTGGTCTACAGCGTGAGATCCAGGAAAGGCGCAAAGCTACACAGAGAAACCCTGTCTCGAAAAACCAAAAAAAAAAAAAATTCTATATTCTGATATCAGTCAGAAGTTATTAAGCATTCAGCTTTCCTAGCCTTTAGATCTGAAATAATTTAATTTTCTTCTTACTCTCATCACTTTAGAAAAAAGGACAGTACTTGTAACATGGACAAACACTTGATCTCATATGCGAACAATTCTAACACTACTCCAACCTCATCAACTTCTGAACGCTGCGGGACCATCCGCCCTTTCCTGCACAACCAGCCTTGGCTGCACTGACCTGGAGCTTCCCCTCTCGTTACAGTTTGAGGCTCCCCTTGTGGCCTCTCACTTCTCTCAGCACATACTTCATGTTTGCCACCTACGCCTTTCTACTTCATATCAATAACCAACTTTATGAATGCTTCAACAGTTTAGAAACATTTCCATCATGTTGCCAGTCATTGCTGTTATACAACAGGGTATGGAAGTTGAAGCCATCACAGCTACTGAAGAAGAAAGAACTAAAGGCCAGGGCAGGGAGAGGGCTCAGTGAGAAAAGGTGCCTGCTGCCAGCCCTAACAACCAAGTCTGATTCTCAGGACCCACATTATAGGAAACAATCAGCTCCTGAAAACTGCCCCCGTCACACAGATACACAAACAAATGAATACAATTATGAAAATTCTTTTTTTTCCAGACAGGGTCTTACTATGTAGTCCTGGCTGGACTAGAACTACTGCAATTCTAGACCCAACTACTGAAATTCTTTATCACCACTTGGGAAATAACTAGTTCTTTGCTAAGTACAGGTCACATTGGAAATTCATTAGTTTTTATTACCTTGGCTACAGATATGATAGACGATTAGTTGTCAACTCAAATTTATTTTTAAGGTAACATTTAAATTGTTTTAAGGGTAAACCTTACTACTATGAGCACTCCAAATGCTCACCATTAATTACAAATTATCCTTTTCTGCACAATAAAGAAGGGTCCTTGAGAACCAGGCAAAAACGCCTTGTTAGGCCTAGGCTAAGAATTCCATTAGAAACCCCACATCTACATTACATATCAATTACTGTTTCCTTAAATTTTAGTAGGCACATTTATAATCAATCATCACTGATTTAGTAATCCACTATTTTGCAAGTGTGATATAAAACCAGAGGTTCTTAAAGAGTGAGGAGCCTGATATGAAACCAAGGATCCTTGTATCAAAGTGATAGACACAATGAAACTACAAGATAACTTCCAACAACATGAATCCATTATGTAGCAATAGTCAGAATGGACAAACGTTACTAATAATTGAATCAACTAGGTATTTCAAATTCCATAATGATGTAAAATGAAAATATTTAAGCATTTTTGGAAATAATTATTGGAATATAAATTAAACATGACCATATGGAAATAATTCACCAAACAATCTACAAGAATGCTTGGTTATCACCATTATCAGACCATTTAATTAATACAGGCCAATAGTGACTACATTATCAGTAGTGGCAAAGGCATGGGGGAAAACAAGTAAGTTTTATTATTAAATTCAGAAGGGACTTTTGTCAATGAAGAAGTCATTGGTTTAGAAGAGTTTAATTTGCTGAAAACTCAGGGTACAATTTATCATTTAAGATTTCTTTTTATCTGGTACAAAAATTTAACTATATCTAAATCATCACATTTTAAGAGCATTTGTTCATATTATACTGTCTTATACACTATCTTACCTATTTATGGAGTTACCATGTTGCAGGTCCTGTTCAGTGGGCCGAAAGAATTCTGCCATGTTGTCTAGAAGCCGACTGAAGCCTCTGTTTAAGCAGGTATTCAAAACTGTACTAAAATCTGGACTAGATAAAATAAGGAGTATATTACTTTTTAGATTCCCAGTGGACAAAGAAAACAAATTCAATAACTATGTGGTTACCTTTCAGAATCATTAACATTTCTAGTTACAATCTAGTTTTCATAGCATGAAAACTGTCTAAATTTATCAGTTTTTCAAAATTAAGCATAAAAATCAGTTGTACTGTTTAGCCTGACATGATGAGATTATTCACCAACTGTCACAGATTTTTATTCATATTAATATCCATTTTGTACAACTTAAGATACAATTTGTATCTTAAAAAAATATCAGCTAGCAAGAATACAAACAAGTCAGTCACTATAGACATCAGTATTGAGGTTCCTCAAACTACTAAAGTAGACACATCATGGGATCCAGCTACGCCACTCGTGAGTTTTTATCCGATAGGGTCCAAGTCAACATATCAGAGGTACTTGCACACTGGCGTTTACTGCAGCATTATTTAAAATGGCTCAGTTATGCAATCAAACCTAGGTGTTCATCAACAGAAGAATGAATACAAAAAATGTAGTATATATACACAATGGAATACATTTCAGTCATAGAAAGAAGTTGTAATGTTTGGATGAAAATGTATGTACCCGTAGATAATCATGCTAAATAAATTAAGCCCGTCTTAGAAATACATGTACATCATTTTCTCTCATTTGTGGGTCCTACATTTTATGTAGACACATCAAATCATGTATTTATATAATAGACAGCAAAGCTGTCTAGGGGAACAGGTGAAATTGTTGGTTGGGGAGACGGGTGATAAAGAAGACGGTATCGAGGAACAGAGAAAGGGGTGAAAAAAGAGAAGGCAGAGAGGCATGGGGGGATATAATCGAAGTACATGATAAACTTGCATGGAAATGTCCACATGTAATCTACTTAAAAAAAAAAAACCAACTCTGCTTCCTTCTACTTTATACAGGAAATCCTACCTAAAGGAGGGGAATAGATTAAAATTTTAATTTTCACATAATATTATGTTGAATATTTGATCAGGAAACATTAGAAAATGGCCTTACACTGAAAATACAAATACACTTAGATCAACTCTACATACCTTTCCAACATGTCTCTTGTCTCATTGAGGAGTTTAAGAGTGGTAATATCTCTCGGAGAAAGCCCATAGGCCTGTAAAATTAGAATTCTAACTTCAGGGTTTCAAATACTACAAAGTCATGAAAGAAACAATCACAGCAAAAGCTCAAGGGTGGGGGAAATCTGAATGTCTCTGCTTTGTCAACAACCAAAACTTTCAAATTAAAAAAGATTATAATGCCAGGTGGAGGAGGCACACACCTTTAATCCCACCCTTTGGGAGGCATAAGCAGGCAGACCTCTGTGAGTTCGAGGCCAGCCTGGGCTACAGAGTGAGTTCCAGGAAAGGCACAAAACTACTCAGGGAAACCCTGTCTCGAAAAAAAAAAAAATTATAAAGGTAAATTTGTAAGTAGTATTTAAAACATGGATTGAAGTATACTTTGTAAGGCTTTGTTTACTTATTTATTTGGTTTGTTTTGGATGTTTCTAGCATCCAGACAAAGAAAAATAACAGATATTAAGACTAATAGGGCTAGGGTGCTGGCTTAGTGGGTAAGAGTCTTTGCTCTGCAAACTGAAGACCCAGGTGTAAATCCCCTGGGTGCTCATGTAAGAATCCAGGTACAGACACACGTGCCTATCACCCAGGATTAATGAGCAGACTTAGGTGGGTCTCAGCACCTGCTGGCCACCTAGCCTAGTCAAAATGCCGAACTCCATGTTCAGTGAGAGTCTATCTCAGGGCAACAAGGTACAGAACCACAGAGGAAGACACGCCTGCACTAGTCTACAGTGCTTGTGCACTGGTACATTCATCTACACACTTACATGGATGCATCACACACCTACACTACACAGACAGCACAGACCAACACACACCAAACAAAAGTCTCTTTCTTTTCTCGCACTATTGAGGAACTTTATTAGGATGTGTGAGGTTTCCCCGCCCCCTTCTCTCTATTCAAACTATTGTGAGGCTCTGTGTGTCTCTTTCATCTAAAGTTTCAAGCTTTAATCCAACTCAGTCCGACTTGGGTCATCTTTCCTCTCTTCATTCATTCCATTCAGTCCTTCACATCATTTTTACTTTTTCTCACTGTTGAACTGTGAAATTTGGAAACTGTTTGATGGTTTAGACTGTTAAAATTCTCTTGCGCATTTCCATGAGATCCTGTTTTATAAGAATTTGCAGTTTTCTTTCATTAATCTCTCTCTTCAGTTTGAGATGAGGTCTCCCTGTGTTGCCCAATCTTGCCTGGAACTTAGGATACCCTGAAACAAGTGATCCTCCTGCCTCAGCCTCCTGGGTGTACCACCACGCCTGGCACTTTCATTAATTCTGTCTCATCTGTCCTCCTTGTTCAGTTTAGTTTTAATCTTTCAACTCCTAAGACTCCCTTTATGGATTACAACTTTTCTCTCTCTCTCTTTCTCTCTCTCTCTCCCTCCCTCCCTCCCTCCCTCCTTCCCTCCCTCCCTCCCTCCCTTCCTTCCTTCCTTCCTTCCTTCCTTCCTTCCTTCCTTCCTTCCTTCCTTCCTCCAGTTCATTTCTTTTTCTTTCTTGCCTAATCTTGAATCTAGTGTCTCTCAGCACCCAAATAGATCATCATTTGAGACCCTAGGGGAAGAAAAACAAAACAAAACTCTCAGGCAATGAAAATGAACACTTTAGGTCTACAGGGCCCGCCTGCTAGAGAACTATCTGTTCCAGGCTTCTTCAGCTGTATATGAGAGCTATTCTTTTTCAATGGCAAAGAAGGGATTCAGCTGAGTCTATAATGTAAAAAACCCAGTAATTTAAAAATGAGTTATGTAACCTGAATATATAACAAAAACCTTTGGCATTTGTATTTTCTTAATGAGTTTCTACAATATCTGCATGGGACACACTAGGCTGTAATAACACCAGAGCTGGTGTTATACCAGGCCTTGTTTGCTTCTCAGTTGAGTGGCTAGAGCTGCCTTCAGGCTGTTGTCCCATAGCCATTATTCATTATCCTTAAAAAAATATTTTATTTTTAATCACATATGTACGTGTGTGTGTGTGTGTGTGTGTGTGTGTGTGTTCATATGCTTGTGCATGTAAGTGAAGGTGCCTGAGGAGGCCAGAAGAGGGAGACAGACCTGGAGCTGGAGTCCCAAGTGGCTGTGAACCATCCACACTGAGTTCGGATCTTTTACAAGATTGGTGAGTCCTCTTTGTGGGGCCATTTCTGTAGCCTCAACTATTCTTTCTCTTTTTCGTTTGCTTATTTTTTTTTTTAGATTATAATTACATCATTTCCTCTTTCCTTTGCTTCCTTCCAACTCCTCCCATGTATCCCTCACGCTTTGTTCTCATTGAAATTCAGGGTCTCTTTTTTCCTTTGTTGTTATATAACTCTGTGTGTGTGTGTGTGTAATAGGTAACAAAAAGAGGCCATGAATTTAAGCAAATCTGAATGTAGTCCTAGTTTCATTAAAATTTAATTCTGTAAACTGAAGTGCAGTCTTTTTATCTAGATAGACAAAGCTCTTCATGATCTTGTCTCCAGTATGCTCTTCCTCCAGGTTCTGTTTGATCTCATAGAAACATTGCTAGTCATACTAACTGAATTTGTCTCTTAGTTCCCAAAGTGTAATGAACTTGTATTCTCCTTTTTAGTCACAGCACTTATCATAGTGCTTGAACCCTAACTACGACTCAATAAAAATCTGCTAAATACTCAATATTGTAAGTGCTATGATAAATCATATTTATAGTTTTTCTAATGAATAAGGTTATTTTAATTGCTGAAACACAAGACTCAAAAATCAATATTTCAAGAGAAAGTACCAGATTTATAAAATATGGAGTATGAGTTAGAAAATACAGAAATGGTTATGGGTTGAGTACCTGAGCTGCTAATGGTGTTTCTTCATCTGGCATCATGTATTGGCACAGTGAAGACTTGGATCCATCTTTATCAATCCAGGAAGGAGACCTATGTTGCTCCACAAGAATTCTGATTTCTTTTAGCTTTTGCTCCAAGTCCAAAAGGGACAATGACTGTTTAAGAGAAACACTAGAGCAGAGAAAACAGTCAGATCAATTGAAATGACACAACACCCTTCACAGCACCCTTCTTAATAAGCTGGTATCTGAAACCCTGTTCCATTTGGTCAGACCTGAAGCTGCTGGACTGGAATGGGCTGGGACGCCAGCCACCAGATAAGGGCCATTAGTACAGAGCCCCAGCAAGCCTTTGCACAGATTTCACAAGAAAAGTCCTGCCATAATTACAGATCTTATTAGTGTAAGGGGGAGGTAGGCTGATTTTAAAGTATTTTTTCTTAATCTCATGACTCACACATTTCTAATTCATTTGGAAATCAATCAATAAACAATAAAATCTGAACAATATCCCTCATTATGAAAAGGCTGACACTGATAAAGCAGATCTGTAACAAATACATAGGGTTATTAGATTACAAAGAATTTCACAAACTGGCCAGGTCACCCAGTTCCCTAAGACAGTTCTATCGTTTATCCCCCTTTACTCTGCAGTACTGAGTAAATGTAAGACCTCCAGCCTGCATGCAAAGCACATGCTCTAAATATGCCCACCCGGCCCTTTTTTCCTTGTTTTTAAATTTGGAGACAGAAGCCACTAAGTCATCTAGGCAGGCCTTTTTAACTCTATCTGCCAGCTAAGCCTTGAACCTGGGATCCTCTGCTTAGGCCTCCTGAGTAAGAGGAATGACAGAATTGTGCCACCACAACCAGCTCTTTTATTCACCAGAATCAGGAAGTCAGAAAAGCCAAAGGAAAAATGACTTACCTTCCTAAAATCTTCTGTACAGCTTGTTTAATGACAGTGACCAATTCTGTCAGGCCTATTAAAAGAAACACAGAGCCTTGTTCACTTAACACCTCCCTCAATAGTATAAACATGCATGCTGCCGATTGGAATCTTACCATCTCCAAGGAGGTGTTGAATACTTGACAAATACTGCTGCTGTACATCTGGGGGAGCAAGGACTGTCTGTATGGAACAGAAATAGAGTTAAACAAGTTAAGCTTTTAGAGGAAAAGCGTCTTCAATGTACCAAAAAAGTCTACTCTCCCAAGACAACAATCCTTGGTACAAATCCAATGTTACAAATTCAGTCATGAAAGAAAAGTGTTTCTCAGAGCTGAGTAACAGTTGAAACTGTACTCAGAATACTAAAATTCAGTTAAACTTTGAACCTCTTAGAATAAAAAGCAGTGTACCATGAAGTCTGTTAAACTTACAGTGCCATTTTTGCCAACGGTTGCATTATCCAGGTAAATATATCCACCAATTATGTTTAGCTGGACTCGCAAAAGAACCACCAGCATACACGTGCTATACACAGCTACAATGCTTCTTGTGAAACCTTCAGAGAGAAAAGAAACCCTTGGGCATTGTTACTAAAACACCAACAAACCTAAAATCATGACCTATCCCTGTGACTACTTTTAATAAGCTGACTTTAGCAAATACATTTGTAAATGGATCAAGCACAAAAATATATCAATTTAAAGTATTTTCTCTTTAACCTGCTTAGAGTAATTTATGTCTCATTTCCTCCCCCTTCTCCCCAGCTTTTTGTTTTTAAGCAGGGCCTTACTATGTGGCTCAGGTTAACCTCAAACTCAGGATCCTCTTGTCTCAGCCTCCTAAGTGCTGGGATGTCAGGCTGGTGTCATTAAGGTTGGCGAGGTATGACTTGTCAGTTGAAGTACTACTCAACAAATGCATAATAGGCAAAGGAATCACATGTTAGAAGCTGGGAAAGGAAAGCAAAGGCATCTGGGTATGCATGGGGATGGGAGTATGTGACTCTGGTGGTGTCTGTTTCCTAGTGTTCACGAGGCCCTGGACCCATCGAGCATGGGCGTGGGGATGGGGCAAGGCAAAGTCAGACCTGACTAAGCTGTGTCTTCAGAACTCGGATGTCTAGAGAGCTAGCTTAGAGTTTAGAGGAGGGCTGAGCATGGAAGAACTGCTTTCGGTGACAGGTAAAGGAAAAGAAGCCCAGTGAGAACGGAGGAGGTAGAGAGGTCAGGGAAACAGGAAGACTTCGTCTCCTAGAAACACAACACAGCGTTCACAGTGTTCAGGACAGAGAAGGGAGCACAGGTGTTCACTGTGCCAAGAAGTGTGGCAGGTCAGAAAAGCCCCAGTGGATCCAGACACACAGAAGTGACTTCTGATGCCTATGAGGACTGTTTCGGTAGAGAGAGTAGCAGAAATTAGGATGCAGTATCAAAAGGTGAGTAGGAGTGAAGAATGAAGAAAGAGAATGTAGAAATAGCTGCTCACAGGGCATGTGAGAAAGGGCAACAGCTGAAAGGAAATGCAGGACACTCAAGAAGTTAACTGTCTTCCAACAGGTGAAGACTTAGGCATCATCCAGTAGATATGGTAGCTGAAAGGAAGAAACAGGAAAGCTTGCTGGCATGAAGTTTTGATACATATATACAAGTCCTAGGAATGTTCTTTGATTCAAATTTTTATCACTAATGAAATATTGCAAATAATAGCAAAGTTGCTACTTGGGTTGGGTAAAAAAGTTCTTTTAAAATACAATGTTAAAGCCGGGCGGTGGTGGTGCACGCCTTTAATCCCGGGACTTGGGAGGCAGAGGCAGGTGGATCTCTGTGAGTTCGAGGCCAGCCTGTACTACAGAGTGAGTTCTAGGACAGGCACAAAGCTACACAGAGAAACCCTGTCTCGAAAAACCAAAAAAAAAAAAAAAAAAAAAAAAAGAAAAAGTTAAAAATACAGTATCTAACATAGGCACAATAATATCACCATCACCCAATAAATATTGTCTAAAAACAGATATTAATCTCCTTGCTTTATGGATATTTCTATTTAAGCCTGATTATTCAATGAGGCAGGAAAAGAAGAGTCATCATGTACATACTACAATATAAAATGTTCCTGTTATAAATATCTTAAGGATGTGCTACTACACAGAATATGCAGGCTTACTTATTATCTTTAGGTCTTCCCATATTTCCAGCTTGTTTGAAGGTCTAAAGAAAAAAATCAGAAAACATGAAAATAATAATCTACATAAGCAAATATATCTTTGAACTACACAGAGATGTGTTCTTTTAAAAATTAAAACAACACACAAATACTGAAGAAACAAAGCTCACAAGATAGTAAAAAAGTATATTTCGTTTAAGCAGTGCTAACAATCACTTTTACCAGTGTACATTCTTCCAATCCTTTTTTCTCCCTCTTCCTGAGCATCTGCATGGACATACTAAAACAGTAAAGAAAACCAAGAAAAGTTTCTTCCCTCTGCTTATTACCTTAAATATAATCAAGCAGATCCTGTGATCATGCAAAGGTAAGTAATACTGTTTTGTTGCTTTGCAGTATCATTATAAGCACATGAAAAGACACGCATATTTGATGCACAGCAAACTCAAGTCATTCTCCCTCTTGCTGTTCAAATCACCACTAGAGGCTACTTAGGCTGGCTTTTAAATCTTTTTGCATGAGCCCATTACTCTTTACTTTTTGAAAAGGAAAGCTGTTTTGAGTTAATCCTGTTCTATGCTTGCTGCAGATCGGAAACTATCCATTTCTTTAAGAGTCCTGGTTCCTGGTGGTGGGAAATGTTAGAGACTGCAGCTGCTTCTGATGATTAAGGATGGCCACTGCTTCTGGGTCAGGCATTATTTCTCATCATTTTCAGTGTGTTAATCTGGTGCCACGGTTTGGCCTACTCTATATTAGCTGTATATCACTGTATGTTAAAGGCTTGGTAATCAGGCTGACTTAACTGGGAGGTAGGAGAACCTTTAAGAATTGGAGGCTACAGGGAGGTTCTAGGTCATTAAAGATATGCCCACCAGGGGATTTGGAGACCTGGGTCCATCTAGTATTCTTCTTGCTTCTTGGCCATTAGGTGGCAGCTTGCTCCATTTTGCCAGGCCCACAATTGCCATCCCACATTGATTGGAACTTTCAAAATCACAAGCCTAAACAACCCTTTTGCAAGGATTTTATTGTAAGAGAAAACTGATGAATAAGCTGTTAGAAATGTATATAGTATTTATATGTACACATTTAAAGATAAATTATACCATAAGCTTATAGTGATAGTTTAATTCAAAGCTGACTTTATAGGATTTTAGCTTAATTTTGTTGATCTTATACACACATTTTATTTGGCCCACACTAGAAATCAGTGAAAACAACATAATTATTAGTCTGCTTTACCCCTCAGTTCAAGAATAGTAGTCTTAAAATAGTGCTGCAATATTCAAAAGGTGTTAGAGTTATTAAGTTCTAGGTAACAGGAGTATTTATTCCACTCAGGATATATAATTACATTTCAGATTTAAAGACACATGGCATAGTTTCTGTCTTTGTGGTGATACCACCTAATAGAAAACATTCAGATTAGTTTACTTTATTATAAATATTTGGTATTACTTAAAAATTAAATATAGTTTTATAATCACATAAAATACAGGGTTATAAAGTCAAATTTATACACCTTGTATGTTGAATATCATGTTTCTCTCCCTATTCACAGGTGATTTAAATATGCCTCCCTGTTGTACTGTATAAATGTGTATATTATTCAATATATTTAAAACTGCTCCTTAAACAAATGCAGATATACTACATAACTTTTATTTTCTTAAAAATAAGATAGCCATGCATCCAGGAGTTTAGTCCACAGTAGCACAAAGGCATATTTATTAAAAAAACATATTTATGGGTCAGAAAAATGGTTCAGTGGATATCAGGTGCCTGCTGCCAAGTTTGATGATCTTGAATTAGTTCCCAGGACCAATACAGTAGAAGGAGAGAGCCAACTCCTGCAAATTATCCTGTTACTTCCACACACAAAATAAATAAATAGAATGTAATAAACATCATAAAAAGTATTTTAAGTGTGGTGCAGTACTAGAGTGTGTGAATGTACTATGGGTATATAATGAAGTGCTTTCCAGAGCACCTGGGTCAAAGGACAAGGATTTTTACTATTTTTCAATTTGCATAAATATTTTTATAAAATATAACGAATATTACTTACTAGAACACAAAGATACAAAACACAGGCCAATAATCCTTTTTATAACTGGACATAAATTTGTGTTTCAATAAGAAACTGAGTTATGGGGCTGGAGAGATGGTTCAGGGGTTCAGAGAAAATACTCCTGTTCTAGAGGACCTAAGTTTGGTTCTTGGCACCCTGACTGGGTGGCTTACAATTGCCTGTAACTCCAGCGACATCTGACATCTTCAGGCTCCACAGGAACCAGTACTCATGTGTATGTGTGTGTGCGTGCATGCACATACACACAAATAATAATAACCCTCAAAAATTTAGAGTTATTATTACAATAAAGTTGAGCCAGTATTACAAGACAGGACGCACTTAGCAGTAGCAATCTGTAAAAGGACAAATTAGAGCATGGGAACTGAAACCACACTTGCTAACACATATTTCATTTGGGGGAATTTGGTGGGTGAGAACAGAGAGAGCAACCAGGAAGCACCTCTCTACTGGCCATCTTCATAAGACGACTGCACCTGTCACTCTGAACTGTAGCTCAGTGGTAGAACTCTTGCCTATCACGTATGCGGTCCTGGTTCAGATACCAGGATCATAAAACAAACAAACCAAAAATGCACACACATGTAATTATCTTTGGAAGAAATTCTGATTTCACATCATATAGGACAAAGTACTTTCTATGTAGATTCTGTTCAAAAGATTCTTCAAGTAGACAACTAGTCCAAGTTAAAAACAACTCGCCTTTTAGCTAAAGTATCTGTTGCTTGTGATGAGGGTGTTTAAGAGTCTCTGCCAGTGGTGGTTCTTTATTGCTATCATGCACCTGTGGAAAGCAGGCTAAAAGATCATTTGTTTATCCCTTATCAGTCATGAACAAACTAATTTCAAAAGAAAACCAACTTGCTTGGCAGGTTTATATGAGACCAGAGTTGACTGGATTCTAACATAAAACAATCATCAAGTCATAGGTCTTGTTAGTCCTTTTTAGACAAATGCTTTTCAAAATGCATATCTACCTACTGCAAAACAGTAATTACAACGCAAACGACAAGGAAGAAAACTAACATTTAGGTGCCTAAGTGTACGAGTGAATGAGAAGAAACAGAGCTCACCTTAAACTCAGGAATTTAAGAAATTCTTTTTCTTGTGTATTGAGTCAGGTTTTTCACATTATCGTGCAAAGTCAATTTTTTTCTAAACCCCCACATTCTCTTTTAGTGTTTGTTTTACCATGGAATTAACATTTTGAATTGTACTATATTTAACCCATTTCCCCCCTTTGGCTGTCAATTCAATGCCTTAAATCTAACGGTATTTTACTAGGTTTTTATTATCGGAAACAATTTATTGGTGCTGGAGATTGAGCTGAGGGCCTTGAGAATGCTAAGCGTAGGCTCTACTACTGAGCCACACACCCAGGCCCTATCTTAATTAGTGAGAATCCTTCTAAGCATTTAGAATGGAGGGCTTCATAGGAAACAAGTTTGCCAAGAAGGAGTAATGCCACCACGTTTATTATAACCGTTATCCCTTTTTTAAAATAAAACTCCTATTCACTTAATTTGTCTTCGCTTCCTAAATAAGACTAAAGCTTATGGCAATTAAAGTCTATTTATTTTTTTGTCCTTTACTTATGCACATGCAAGTAGTAATTAGGTACTTATTTGACTGAGATTAATTTGCTCATATATACCTTCTTATATAATTACACAAAGTAATTTATAAGCCACATTTTACATCTGTAAAACAGATTAAATTCAGTCTACTTCTGAGAATGACAATCACCTGCCACAGGTATTATATTTTAATCAGATATTAAGTTTTAGCACAAGTTCACTGCTATTTTGGGAAGTGTTCCCTGGATAATAGAAAATGTTTCAAATAGGACTGGGAATGTAGCTCAGTATTTGCCTCACATGGGTGAGGCTGTGGGTCCAGTCCCCAGTATTACAAAAGAAACAACGAAATAAAATTGTCAACTTTGTTGCTCAACCTGAGTATTAAGTTTCTGTTTGAAAGTGCAGATGATAACATCTGCCTTACAGACACACTGTGAAAACTGCACAAGAGCATGTATGTGTGGGCAGCATCTAACACCAGGGTTGCCACAGACTCTGGAAACAGTACCCCCCACCCCAGACACTCCCTGTCCCTCAACCCTGGGTCTTTGGACGCTCACTATAGCCAGGCAGGTATTTCAGTATAATCACTTTACTAAGATTTCCCTGGTTTGGGGTGTAACTCTGTGGTGACCACGTACTTAACATGCATGGGCTGCTAGGTTTGGTTCCTCACCTGTGTTTCTCCCTCCTCTTCTCTCGTCTCCCTCCTCTGTCTCTCTCTTCCCCTCCCCCTCCTTCCAGCCATCAACTTTACTTAGTGAAACCACCACTGCCCATATTTTGCTCATCAAAAGAAGCAGCCATTTGTTTACCAGAAGTCTCCTCAAATTAATACAGAATCACACTAACTTCTAATGCCTGTGTGCATACCACATGCCACACACCAGGTCATACATGTGGGTAGTGCTTTCTGAACTGCCATAATAATTTGTCAGCGTTACACATTCATGTTATATTTGTATATCATTTTATCAGTTACTTATAAATTTATGTGTCTTATCCAAAACAGTCTAGTACATTGCTAACACTATTAGAAGCACAATATTAAGCATAATTTTATTAGCTTTACATTTCTAATGCAGGAATATATTCTATAAACACTCAATAAGTAAGCTGCTGAATAATGTAAAAGTGATATAAAATATTCATATGAAGACAATACATGTTAGTGTCCATATGATTTGTATAATGAAGCAGAGTTTAAACAAAGTTAAATATTGATTAAGTGATATATGCATTTTTTTAAAACTGAGCTTGTGTAAGTTTTAATTAAAAAACAAGGAAATAAGGACTTATTAAAAGTATTTAGTTCATTCTATAAACTTTGACTGCATTCCAGTAAGCCAAAGCACATGACTTGCTTTTACCTGTTTTTCAACAAAGCTGTCAGACTCTCGGAATTGAGTTGCTGCATTAAGGCCTCTCTCAGCGTGGGCAGCATGGACAGCACTGTAACACACACAGAAAACAGAGACTCAAACCACACGAACACACTCACTGAGACAGAAGTTAGAAAAGTACTCACCAGGTTATGGAAATGACCTTAGCTACTGGTACCATTCTTTCTGTAGCCCTAGTGACAAAATCTAGCCATTTTCTTAACATGTAGGAGATAGGGTAGAAATGGACCAGTATTTTGGCTACCACATAGTATGCTGTGATCCTTTATCCAAACCACACAATCATTACTATAGTCCAATTATTGTAGTTAATAATAAGTATTTCTAGAAGTCATTGTATACTGTTTGTTCATTACAAGTTTATGTTCCATTAGAACTTCCAATCTTTATTCAATATTCTGGATCATTCTGGATCTGTAAAATTGACTCATCATACAAAAAAATTCATCTACCACAGTCCAAAAAATAAAGAATACTTTGTATTCTGAAACTTTATTAGTGATATTAGCTATGAACATAAGCAAGCATCATGTGATGTGTAAATTTAAACTCACAAAGACAATAAAGGCAAAGGACAAAACACAGAAGCATTCCATTATCTTATAACACTCAAGTAAAGCTAACCTCTCATGTATGCAAACTAAAGCCCTTAGTGCCTCTAGTATATCCACCAAAGATTTCTATGACTGAAATTTAATCACATTATTTGTAGCTCCCTTGTAAATAAATACCAGGAAGTTAGTTTGCCAAGCTTTTCAGGGAACCTATATTTTAACTCCTAGTGATCATGATATGCTGTTTTTAATTGCCTGCAGCTGCTATCTGCTGAGGGCTGGGACAGTCATGGGCATGTGCTAGCTACACCTTCCAAGAGCAGCAGAATGAACCAACAGATTCATTACTATGTTTGCAGGGTTCTTAGTCAATGAGTACGCAGATGGGAACTCCTCTACCAGGGAACCAGGACTTGTAGGCTTCTGTTAACTTGCCAAACTTTCTTAAAACTGTGACAAGTAGTCTCAGGCTTTTATTTTTTAGACTTGGTCTCACTATAGCTGTCCTGGAACATGGCTAAAAAGACCAGGCTGGCCTTGAACCCATAAAGAACTGTTTGCCTCTGCCCCCTGAATAATGGGATTAAAAGTGTGCACCACCATGCCTGGCTCGGGCTCGTCTTACCTCAACTTCTTCCTTTCACAAGTGTCAGAGAGCTTCCTTAACTATTCCTGCTGCCTCTCTATTATTCTTTACAGGCATTTCCCCAAGAAATTGCTCACACATTCCATTGGATTCTGGGAGGCCCAATCTGACACAGGATCTTGTCAAGCTGAGGTTTATTTTGAGATCCCAAGAGTGACCATTTTATAAAAACTTGCATAATAATCTGAAATGGACTATTAATATTCTCTAAAAACTCACCAAAATGTCCTTAGTAGCACCAGCAAGTTCAGTTAAGTCTGCGAGCTCATAATTTGCTGAGGGTTCATGTGCCAAAGATTTTATGTGCATTATCTCGTCATCTCCTCAGAAACCATTTTTTTTTTTTTTTTTAAAGCAGAGACTTGCTCTATGGTCTTGGCTGGCCTAGAACTTGCTATGAAGACCAGGTTGTCCTCCAACTTGAAACAATCCTCCTGCCCCAGTAGCCCAGTGCTAGGATGTGGATCAAATTCAGAGCTCCATGCACATGAGACAAGCACTTTCACCAAGTGAGATACATACCTGGTCACTTCACAAACCATTTCTGAAGTAAGTTTTATGATTGTGATTTTTATAGGAAAGAGCTGATGTTTAGCTCAAGGGACACAGATAATACAAAGCAAACTGGACACTCGACCAGCTCAGTCTCTCCCTGGTGCCTCTATCATCTTCGCTGTGCACGTGAGAGCTGTCATTACAGACAGTATTTCTGACTAGGGTTTTACAGAATGGAAGTATACGGCTAGATGTGATTACTTCAGCTATAAACTCACACTCAGTTGTGAACTTATCTCTTCTTTTTGATCTTAGCTTCTCTATCTATGAAATGAGGCAAGTAGCTGGCAATAAAGTCCGTTCAAATCTACAGAAAAATTCTACATGTAAGCTGAACAAGAAGCATTTAGCTTTGTAAATTCTTTCTAAATTAATTATCCTTGAAGGAAATGTTAGAGAAAAAATGAGCATTGAACACTGAAAAGAACAAGCTTGACATGTAACTGAGAAACTACTGTTTCAAGGCATTACACCAGTTAGAACCTAACTTCTTACTCTCTCCAAATATGAGCAGGCTGGCTTTATTGTAGCATTTCCCCCAGTAGGTTTCTGGCTCTGGTAGTTACATTATTATCATTAATTAAGTGATTGAGCAGACGCTATTGTGTAATACTTACATCCTGCAGTGTCCTGCTGCAAATGTAACAGACTTCTGACTCCTTGCTGGAGCCTACAAGACCATATGGGCCAACCTCAGTAGCTTAGTTTCCTAGCACTCATCCACGTCTCTCTAGCTCCAGTGCTTGGGTGCTGTTTCTGCAATGTCACAAGCATGTTCTCATCTCGGGCATTTGCTCTCTCTATTGTATTGCCATCTGGTCAGAGGCATGGGCCCCTGACCACACTCTCCAGAGGGGTGCCCACTCCTCACAGCTTTCCTTCCCTTACAGGACCCACCACTACCTAAGGTTATTTATGTGCTGCTTATCATCATTTCACCAGAACATACACCTTAGAGGTCAGGGAGTTTACTTTGTTTATTGCCTACTTCCTCGATGGTAGGCACTGCAAATATCTGCAGAATGAATAAATAAAATGAGGATTTATACTGTTTTTAAAAATCCACATGAAATTATGTCTCTGTTAATAGGCATATTGGGTAGATTTAGCATCCTTTCTTTGTCTTTTCCATAACTTGAGGCCTGAAAATATGTGAATTAATACAAACCAACAAACACTTTTACACACAAATACATACATCTCTCTGCTTACCCGTCATGTTGCAAGTCCTCTGGTTACTTTCAAAATGGTACTGTCGCCGAGCTTGGGCAATGTATTCTGCAGCTTCTCTTTCTTGTATTTCTCTAATTTTTTTCTGCCCATATTTTCCCAGGATATATACTCCTAAAATTATTAAAAAACATACTAGCATATTAATTAGAGTACTAAAAATCCCAACCAATATATTTAAAGCATTTTTGATTAAATTATGAGGTTTATATTAGCGATAAGCTGAGAATTACAGCTTCTAAAAAATCTTTATTAAAGAACTGAAAAAGGAAAAGAGAGAGCATATTTTACTTTCTTACTTATTTTACATGTATACAATGTATTTTAATATGGCCAGCAACAAGAGAAGAGATTGGCAGACGAGAAGCAGAAAGACATTGAATTTGTAAAGTCTGGCAGCATCTTTAATAGTTAACTAGAAAGATTCTAAATGTCTAGCAACAGAGAATTATTTAAATAAATTATGATCTGTCCATATAATGGTATCTTATGTAGCTATTAAAAACCACATTTCTAAATAGTTAATGACTCAAGGAAATATCTACCTTATACTATTAGGTGATAAAAGAACATCCAGGAAGTTTGTATTATAATGGAAAAGACAGAAAAGTATGTGGATTTAACTTCTAAAGTAAAATAAACTGTGATAATTATGATTTCCCACTTTTCTTTGTTTTTCTATATTTTCCACATTTTCTTCAATGAACACATAACTTTATAAATCTCTATAATAAATGATTTAAAGGAATGAAAGAAAGGCATTTAGTCAGGAAGACATGTATTTATCCACCCATGTATTAGAACAAATCTGAGGGGAAAAAAGTGGATATAACTGACGTCATCTAAAAACGAATCAACTAAAAAGAGCAGGAGGAGGACAGCGTCAGAACACAACAGTATATACATATGACAGTGCCCTGCAGTCTTAAGCACACTTAAGCATAGACGATACAATATAAATGGGTACATTTTTGTCTATATTCAGGATGAGCGGCCATCAGTTTTCTTAACTGGGAATATGACGAACACCCAGTGCTAACATTTGATCAAGATATACTGGCAATTCGACATATGTATAAACACATTGCGATCACAGTCACTGCTACCCCTATTACCCACTCTTGTTTCCCTTCCACTCCTGCTGATCCATGTATTTTCCCTAAGCAGTCCCCATACCAGATGGTTTGTTTTAACCAACCACCTCTGATGAGCATCAAGTGTTTTGCTAAGTAGTACCATCAATAGCGGAACTGAATTTTCACGGAAGAAGTCAGTAAATGTTCAAGACACTGGATTAGCTGAAGCATTTTAGACCATGTGTATGGACATGAATCTGTAGCTCTAGCAAGGCCTTTCTCCCCAGTGATGGCTTAACCTGGAACCCAGAAAGGTCTTCTGAGTCAAATGGGTTACAGCAACAATAGTGTTACCTTTGTTTCAGGTACGTGATTGCGTCACAGTGCCAAAGAAGAACAGAAATCAGTAAGCTCATAGAGCAGGTTGGGTCACTGTCTCATCTTTGTCTGCTAAGAGGCACCTCTGTGTGCCCAAACTTGATTTCATTATAACCCGGCAGCAAGGGTAAAGGGGACCAACCATTTCTCATTTATCTCCACTGTATGGAGCTCACAGTATTCACCAAAAGGGCCTCAACAATTATGTATGACCTAAGGAGCTGGATTTGGTGTGTTTCTCACAACCAGAAACTGCAAAACAAACACATCCTAAATTATTTTCACTAAGACAGATGTTGTAGATGATCTAAGATGTTACATATCCTTAGATAGTTCCATAAATCTAAATACTAAATGGGAATAGTACATGATTGTTGCTACTATGTGTATAAATACATAAATTATAATTAAGCTTGAAGAGCAAATAGAAATTCATAAAATATGCTCAATGGCTGCCTTTTCTGTAACATCATAGCAGTATAGCTACAATACCATTAGAATAAGAGAGATATGGTGGCAGCTCATGCCTGTAATTCCAGCTGAGGCAGGAGGATCACCAATTTTAAGGGCAGTCTGGAATATACTGTGAGAACCTATTCCCTTCCCTCCCCATTAAAATCCCAAGAGAATGAAGAAACTGACTTATATTTAGCAATTCTAGTACAACTAGTTCTGAATGCATTGCTTGTACCTTATCTCCATAATATATTACTGAAAGTTACATACACAATGATTATTATCTCTCAAGTTACATTGTAAAATGAATCACTGATCTGACACTCTTTGCATAGATCATAATATTTTTTTTTTAGAAAAGTGGTAAATTTGATTGTTATATATATTTTCTTGGGGAGATGGCCTGTCTCATCATATTCTTAATAAATCTGATTAAAAAAATAAAACCTTAAGAATTCTGTATTTACTTGGGAAGTGCAGTATATTCTAACAAAAGCTAAAAAGGAAAATACTTTGTTACAAGTTGAATTGTGTCCACTCCCCCTTTACACCACAGATTAATATACTGAAGGCCGAGCACCTTAGAATGTGAGTTCAACACAAAGTGAGATCAATGGACCCCAAACCAACATGATCAGTGTACTGTTAAGAAAGTGAAATTTAGATATAGATATGCACAGAGAGAAGACAACTGAAAGGTTCCCAGAGACGCTCTGTGGCTTTACGGCAGTCAGACTTCTGTAGAAGACAGTGAAAACAAGAAGGCCATCATGGGGCAGAGTCTAGTACAGATCCCTCCACGTGACAAAAGGAACACACTGCCGACATCCTGATCATGGACTATTAACTTTCAAAACTGTAAGATACATTTCAGTTTCTCAAGGTACTCACTTTGTAGGTCTTCATTATGGAAGCCCTAGAAAAGTCACACACGAAATTAGGCTTAAGCTCTAGACCCACTGTTTTTCTTTAGCTAGCACTGTTATTTTTTATTTTATTTATTTATTTATTTATTTATTTATTTATTTATTTATTTATTTATTTTTGGTTTTTCGAGACAGGGTTTCTCTGTGTAGCTTTGCGCCTTTCCTGGAACTCACTTGGTAGCCCAGGCTGGCCTGGAACTCACAGAGATCCGCCTGCCTCTGCCTCCGAGTGCTGGGATTAAATAGCACTGTCATTTTATTCAAGGTCTAGCTCACTTAGGATCCCATATTAAAAAAAATTCATAAATCAACTTTTTCAGATTTGCTTCTCTAGGAAATATTAATGAAAGAAAAATATCACTAGTTAAGATATAATACTCAGGGCTGTATCTACTTCACAGGCAGCCTGACTCGGCTAGAAAACAGACAGCAGGTGAGGCGACCTGGAGTAGGTGACTTACTCCCTCTAGGCAAACATCTTTTTCATGTGTAAAATCAAATAGTTTCAAATTTCTTCTATAACTATAACCTTCTTTATTAGCAATGAAAATATCCACTAAATACCAAAAAATAAGTGCAGATGTTTTGACATTTCCTTTCACGGCTTGTAAAGCAGGATATCTTCTAGTCTTTGCATACATCACTCATTTTAAAACCACTTCTTAGTCTTGTCTTCCAGGACAAAAATTCCTACAGTGCAATTATTTTCTATAACAATCTGACAATAATCAATCACCATGACTTTCAATCTGGCATTTCCCCAAGTTCTAACGCTTTGATATCTTTCAGTTTTTCCCCCAGTACTGAGTAATGACCTTGTTCATGGTAGGCCAGTGCTGTACCACTTGGGGATGTCTCCAACCAATATCAAGCATCCTTGAGCTGTACTACATCTGAAGAACTAGAGTCTGGAGGGCAGGAGTCTGTGTTTTCCTGAAGCACTTAAGATGGTTTTCATTCATAGTGAAGTCTGAGAAGCACGTGCGCGCGCACACACACGATCCTGCCCACATTACATGCAGTGGCACAGTTAGGAAGGCTTTTCACACTTCATATTACTTTTGTTTATTTCTATCTCTACTTTCCAGACTATAGCATTAGTTCTCCGAAGTCAGAAATGGTGTCTTATTCCTTATATATTCAGAGCCTTGTATAGTTAGAATAGGCCTTTTTCATATTGAAATGTTGAGTAAATAAATAACAAAAAAAAGAGAAAGAAAAATCCAAAGAGGTTAAAAATTACAAGGCTTAAGATACAACTCAGTGTTCTGTGCTTTTTAAAAAAAAAATCAGCAAGACAATCAGTATGTATCTGGCCCCTTTGCTCTGTAACACTTTCTCTTGTGTGCAATGGTTTCCAAAGTGTGGTCTGGGCATCCCTGGAGTCTGTTTGGGGATCTGTGAGGGCCACAATATTTTTGTCATACTAAAATGGTGTCATTGGCGTTCTACACGCTTTCCTGAGTGTACAGGGGAGAATTTTAGAGGCTAGTTAATGGGTGGTTTCACACATGACTGACTACAGAAGGGATGAGAATTTAGCTGTCTTCAGTTAAGCCAAACTAAAGAGCTTTGCAATTGTAAAATAATGCCATTCTTCTCACTAATCCCCGAAAATATTTTATGCTAATATTTAATAGGTTTACTAGTGTTATCACAAATGACTAATAAATACTTTAAAAACCTCTGGGTTTTAACTTCAAATATGATAATTGTTAATAGATACAGAACTTAGGTGGCTTAGGGGGGCTTAATTTCTAAGAGTGTCAAGGAGATTTCCCGTCAGACAGTTTGAGATCCACTGCTCTTGTCCTGTCTCAAATGGTCAAACTGCATAAATGGTCATGAAGCAGTTACTATCCAGAATGCAAGGAAAGAGAAATTCTGACTTTTGTTTTGTTTTCAGAGACAGGGTTTCTCTGTGTAGTTTTGATGTCTGTCCTGAATGTCGCTCTGTAGACCTGGCTGGTCTCGAACTCACAGAGATCCGCCTGCCTCTGCCTCTAGCGTTGCTGGGATTAAAGGTGTGCACCATCGCCGACCAGCGAAATTTTGACTTTTGAAGCCATGCTGCTCAAAGTTCTGCTTGCCTGTGTTTTTCCAGCACTCAATATGTGAACATCTTTGTTCATGTATAATAACACCTTACCCAGCTTTCAAGTCTGTCAAAATATGCCACTCCTGTTGTGAAATCCTTCCTCATTTTATACAACTCCATATTGCTACGTATCAACAGGCTCATTAACATGTTCTGTATTCATCTCTATCCTGGTCTTTTAATAGCATTTTCACTTATTTCTTAAAAGATCAAAGAATCCACAAAAGCAGAGTGGTAGAGTATGGAATGATAATATGCATTGGGACCTAACACACTGGGGGTTGAATTCTTATTTCCTTGTTGGTTACTCAAACTCGTGGCAAGCTTCTTAACTCTATGGACTCTAGTTTCTACATTTTTAAAAAATGGCAAAAATGTAACTCTCCCGCTGTTGTTTCCATTGGCTGGGAAGAGCTTAGCAGAGTGTTCAAGACACACTGGGTTTCTAATAAATATTAACAATTAAAAAAATTTGTAAATTATACCTATTCAATTATACTACCTCCAGCAGTACAAGCCATTATCAAATATTTCTTTCTTTCTTTTTCTTTCTTTTCTTTTTTTTTTTTGAGATAGGGTTTCTCTGTGTAGTCTTGGAGCCTGTCCTGGAACTCACTCTGTAGATCAGGTTGGCCTTGAACTCACAGAGATCCGCCTGCCTCTGCCTCCTGAGTGCTGGGATTAAAAGAGTGTACCACCACCAATTACTAGTATTTAAATACTAGAAAATATTTCTTAAACTGAAATGTAAGATAGGAATTTCCTCATGATACAGAAAAAATATGAACTCTTTATAAATCGAAACTAGGTATGTTGAACTATTTTAAGACTTTCTATTTTGCTAGAAAACTGCAGTGTTTCTCTTATGTCTCTGAATCTTTTTTCCTTCCTCTATTTTATTTTATTTTATTTTATTTTTGAGACAGGGTTTTACTATGAAGCTCTCGCTGTTCTGGAACTCACTATGTAGGCCAGGCCTCCAACTCAGGAGATCTGCCTGCCTCTGCCTCCAAGTGCTGGGATTAAAAGCATGCACCACCATACCCAGCTTTTTCCTTCCTCTTAATCTGCAATTACAAAGCTCTCAATAGAGTTCCAAAAGAAAATCTATTACTATATCCACATACTCTTTAATTTGTCCTATGATTATTTCTGATCTGCCATTAGGTGTTCCATAAACCTTAAGAGGGTAGGCGCTCCCCTCTGAAATTGTGAGAGACAGTTTTCTTTCTTTTAGCAGAGCAAAAAATTTTTTATATGTCTTCCATGACATACATCTTTATCTTTCACACATGTATTCTGTAGTACTAGCACAATAAAATAAAAAAATAAATACACCTTAGATATTAGAGGCTGAAGGTAATAGAAAACACATTGTATCTATAAAGTATTTCTCAAAGGTGATTATCAGTCAGTATCCAATTGTGCTACACCTCAGAGATACACAGAACATGGGTATTGACTTATCAGTGACCTACTATTTTAAGATAAGAGGATAGTGATGGTATTTCTTATGATTTAAGTTTTTTAAACTCTTTTAAAGTTCCCAGGTTTCCTTTTTGTACAATCCAAAAGATTTTCTCTTCCCTTCTTAAAATCCCAGAATTATGAACTGTTTTACAAAGACAAAGGGTTTAAAGTGGGGTGTGTGTGTGTGTGTGTGTGTGTGTGTGTTGCTTGTGATACAATGCAGTCAGCTTAAGCAAGCACCGCACCACAACGCTACAAGTCCATCATCGAGATTTTTTTCCCCCATGTGTTTCTAACTTTCCTCTCAGCCAGTGAACTCAACTATATCAGCGAAATGGGCAACGACAGTATAGAATATCCAATCCTGAGCATTTTGTTGATGCATAATTTGCATTTTAAAATTGGAGAGATGAAAATACATATCTCCCCCCGCCCCCATTTATCTAGTGTATCTTACAGCAACATCAACATGTTAGAGCTGTTTTGTAGTTAACTTTAAACATTACCCCAAAGTACAGACTTAAGCTAACTGCCCTAGAATATTTCGAAAGTCCTGTGAAAGGTTGAAAGCCATAGTACTGGAGTTGCCAAAAAGAATGAAGAAATTTAACAGGAAAGCAACAGAAGAGAATTGGAAGGCAAACGTATTTATACAAGAACAGTGCTTTGAGCCGGGCGTTTGTGGCCCATGCCTTTAATCCCAGCACACGGGAGGCAGAGGCAGGGGGATCTCTATGAGTTCAAGGCCAGCCTGGGCTACAGAGTGAGTTCCAGGACAGGCTCCAAAGCTACACAGAGAAATCTTGTCTCGGAAAACCAAAAAAGAATAGTGCTTTGAAAAGAAACTTCATTAGAATAGATTCCCGAAAGCCGTGGGGGAAAGGGGGGCGGGGGAGGCAGAATGAGGGGCAAAGGGCACAGAGAGGGGAGATAAAAGAACCTCAGAGGTTCTCCTCTGACGGTTGGGCCAATCCCCTCTACATATCCCGTACTAGGATCAGTGGGCCTTGACTGCTTTAGAAGTCACCCCTGTCATTCCCTTCTGCCAACGTCCCCTTCCAAAGCACGTTGTCACTCACCTCCAAGAACTGTGCCCAGGAAGATGCATTTCTTTTTGTGACGTTTCAGAAAATTCCACATTGATCTCAGCATCTTCAGACCCTCGGGGTGTGGGTTGCCTAGGGGAGAGGGGGCTGGCTCACCAGGAAACCGTGCCTTCGTCAACCTGGGCCGGATCTCCGGCAGAAGCAGAAGCCCGGTGGCGGTGCTAGGTGCTCTCCAGAAACCACAGACGCTCCTCTGCGCAGAGGCTGTCGGCGGAGCGGAGGAAGGGGGCGTGGACTCCACGGAGCAGCAGTGCTTTTGATCCTCCGGTCGCCGCTCACTGGTCCGGGACGCCTGGGTACGTCCGCAAATAGCTCCCGGGTGCCTCGCCTTTTTCGGTCTTCCCGGAAGCAAGGGCCCGCGCCCGCCGCGTTCCGCTGCCCTCTCTCCTCCGGCTCCCGGGCCTTCGTCTCTGAGGGAGGGCGGGATGGAGGAGAAGGTGGACTCCGCCGCCGCTACAGACGGCTCGTGCGTGGTGTCGGCACAGGAGATCGAAAAGTGGATGGCGGAGGCCATGCGAATGGTGAGAAACCCGGCAGGTGGACGGTGAAAGTGCAAACTTTCTCCCGGCCACATCCTGACCCCCTGTAGTTGAGCCCATGTGTCTGGCGCGCTTTCTCATCACCATTATCTATCAGCTCTCAAAATATATAAATTAATAGCTTGCTTCATTCTCGGGACGTTTTCTTGAACTTTGTCCACAGTAATTTGAGTGGAGGGAAAATACAGAAACTGGTGTGCAGCATGTATCTATCACATGTAGCCCTAGCTGCTATGTTACCTACCTGCCTACTACCTTCCTTTCCAAGGATGGACACATGCTTTCAAATCCACACAGCCACATGATTTTGTGATTTGCTCCGACTCCCTTGAACATATATAATGGAAGGAAGCTGAAGGTGTTTCTTTTTTTTCTTTAGATATATTTTTATTTTTTTTATTTTTTATTTTTTGGTTTTTCAAGACAGGGTTTCTCTGTGTAGCTTTGCGCCTTTCCTGGAACTCGCTTTGGAGACCAGGCTGGCCTTGAACTCACAGAGATCCGCCTGCCTCTGCCTCCCGAGTGCTGGGATTAAAGGCGTGCGCCACCACCGCCTGGCCATATTTTTATTTTTTAATTACACTCATGATATTCATTAATTACACTCATGATATTAATTACATTTGTGGTATTCATTGATTACATTCACAGTATTCATTCAATAATTATATTTATGATATTCATTAATTACATTAGTTGTATTGATTTATTACATTCATGATATTATGTCATGATACTACTGTTCATTTGTGGGGTTTTTCCATCACACAAAACAGAGATTCTGTACTTGGGAAATCATTGCTCTATATTCCCTTCTTCTCTGTCTTGAGATAATGTCTAATCTTTCTGTCTCTATGAATTTGTATATTCTATATATTTTATGTAATACAATTCTATAGTATTTGTCCCTTTTTTTGATTGTGAAAACATTTTATGTACAACTGCAGGAGAAATAATACTCAGATAGCCTGAACATAAAAACAGGTTATAATTTAAAAGTCCAGGGTTATTTTAAACAATAAAATATTTTCTCTCTAGAAAATAGTGTAAATGATAACATTTCCCAATAAGCTTTTTTTTAAACCAAATGATAGCCGAATTATACATATAAATATTGATTAGGTTCTGGGATACAGAAGAGACCTATCTTCATCTGTTCAGAGAGCTATGTTTTACTTAAGCTGTGATAGTGAGATTCCTAATCATCTTCCCCTTCGCTGTTTGATTTACAGCAGACATTTTTCTATAGGCTAATCCATAGTCTAAAAAGATTTTAGCCTCCCCTCCTGAAAGTACGGCCAGCATTTTCTTTCATCAGCTTGATTCAATACAAATTCTTATCCTAATAGTGAAATGTTTCATTAAAGCTTGCCCAGTGATTGGGTAAAACCAAAACTTATTATAAGCCTCAGTCATCCTAGGGTCTCCCCCGCTAGGTTGCCTCCCTGGATGTGTGGGTTGCAGTCTGATTATCCTTTGCTTTATAACTAGTATCCACTTATGAGTGAGTACATACCATGTTTGTCCTTCTGAGTCCGGGTTACCTCACTCAGGATATTTTCTAGTTCCATCCATTTGCCTGCAAATTTCATGATGTCATTGTTTTTCTCTGCTGAGTAGTACTCCATTGTGTATATGTACCACATTTTCTTAATCTATTCTTCAGTTGACAGCCACCTAGGTTGTTTCCAGGTTGTGGCTATTACAAATAATGCTGCTATGAACATAGTTAACCATGTGTCCTTGTGGGCTGAAGATGTTTCTGGTAGAGAGTCATATGAAAACATGTACCAGTACAATCCTCACCTATCATTCGCTTACTCTTTCTTCATTCCCTGTAGGGATTGCTGATTATGGAGGGCTCTGGTTGTATTTACATGTTGTTCCAAGCTTTATCCATATTGATGTGTACCAGGGATAGAAGTTTGTGTATATATATATACACACATCTCCACTCTTTCTGATGCTAGGTTTTCATCCTGTGAACATTATGGAATGTACTTAACAGGGATCTAGGTGGTATAACCATCTACATAATAACTTATTTACTTCCTTATAAAGGCCTTCACACTGAGTTCAGCCATTGATGTAGGAATGTACTTTTTGCTTATTCTTTTACAAAATTAAAATATTTCAACTTTTTATTCTAATGCTTACAAAAGTTCACATTCACAAGAAACTAAAGTCTAGAACATTTAACAAATTATGTAAAAATGACCTAAAGTCCCGACCTCAGAGGTAGCATTGCTGACATTTTGTGAGCATTCTTCATATATTTCTGTCCTTGTGAAAACAGAAACACATTTGGTCATAAATGGAATAATGTATTCTCCTTTTTATTGTTATGAACACTTTTTTATTTTGGCTTGTTGTCTTTCTCAGAACCTGGGATGAGAAGAAAAGAGCCTTTGTTCTTCAGTTTTGAAATTGAGAATTTGCTAGTTTGTGGAAGACCAAGTCGCCATTTTGGTGGCAGAGCTTTGGCCTCTTCCAGAGAAGGCCCGCTTCTTACGTTCAAAGCCATCCACACCATTAGGCCTGTTTTGCTTGAACTCTTTTGCTCTGGTGACAAAAGGAAGGGACTGGCTAGCAGAGATGGGAGGGGCATCGGAAAGTCTGAGATAGGATGGGGCGACATGGATTTCCTGCTTTCATATACATTTTGAACTTGTCAGTAGAGGAAATGTCTGCACATTTTGATATATATGTATTGGAAAATGGTGCCTCTAAATTGACTCCCACAGACTTTGTATTCTTCTCACCTCCCTGTCTCTGGACTGCTATTACATTCACTCTCGGCATGGCCTACAAGGCCATTCCTTATCAGTAATGTTGTTTGTTTCTTTAAGGTGGTCTTATCATTTCTAGTGAGATAAATTTACTTGAAGGAAAAGAGAGGACCCAAAGGAATCAGGTACCAACACACACAGTCCTCTGTTGACCTGGGAGCAGAGAAAGGCTGGCAGGACAACCGTGCTGTGTACCATGTCAGGTGCACAGTGGACAGGGCTCTCTATCTCTTTCCTTCTACCTAGGTACTTCCTACTTGGTTGGGGAGTGTAAAAAATAATTTATGTGTGTGTGTATGTGTGTGTGTGTGTGTGTGTGTGTGTGTGTGTGTGTGTGTGTGTGTGTGTGTGTATGTGTGCTTGCACCTGCACGCAGGGTACACATATGTATAAAGATTAGAGGACAGCTTTTGAGAGGACAGGGATTTTTCTCCTTCCATTGTGGGATCCGGGGATCGAACTCAGGTCACCAGGCTTTCATAGCAAGACTTTCCCCTGCTGAACCATATTACTGGTCCAGTCTTCGATTCTGTTCTGTGTGTTTGAAGCTGCTCATGTCACCCCCAGTTCTTCAGGAAATAGGCTTACAGAAAGCCTTGTCACATGCCTTCTGTTTTTAGTCTCAAATTCCCCATGTCTCTCCCTCTTAACTCCCCCTTCTCCCTTTGTCCCTTGACCCACTCTAAACCCAACACCCGATGAAGTGTCTGATGAGCGAAGTCACTGGTGACTAAAGAGAGACCAGAGGGAGAATGATGCAGAGGACACAGCACCTGATACTAATTAATAGTTGCTCCAATAATTGGTGAAGTGAGTAATGAGGAAAGGCAAACTTCCTAGACTTTCGCTACAAATCTCTCACATGGTCAAGATGGCTTCCCCGTGCCTCAGTCTCCTCATCTGTACAATGGAGATTAGTGTCCCTTTCACTTTAGGATTATAAACAAAATGAATTCGTAGTTACAAAGTTCTTAAATAGTCCCAGACCAAACCACACTTAAAAAACAAAAGAATATCTTACCTACGTATATTTTCAACCTCTCAGGATAAGAATGCTTGAGATGTAATGTCCCCTCTCCAGAGGTCTACTGGGAGACGTTCAGTTGAAAGCTGAAAATCCGACCCACAGGAAGTCATTTTTCGAGACAATGCTTTTCTTTTCTACCATTCCAGCTAAATAACTTCTGTCACTGATCTGGCCCAGTGGATATCCCCTTTCCGTTTTGGCCTGTATTTTTCTATGGTCCTCTATACCAGTCAGCAGTCCTGCCTTATTCTCTCCCTCAGTGGGCTTGCTAGATCCTTATTTACTTTAGTTACTAACTTTTCCCTTTGAAAGAATTATCAGCCACAGGAACCTGCACACAGTAAAAGTGTACGTAGAGAGGGTCCATTCATGCAGTTTTCTTCAGCTACCCAACTGTAGTACACTATCAGAGCCAGGGACATCTCATTGGTATACTCCGAAGAGCTTCTTTTTTATTTTATTTTATATTCACTGGGGTTTTGTCTGCATGTGTGTCTGTGTGAGGGTGTCAAGCTCTGGAACTGAAGTTAGAGACAGGTGTGAGATGCCATGTGCGAGCCGGGAATTGAACTCAGGTCCTCCGGAAGAGCAACCAGTGCTCTTAACCACTGAGCCATCTCTCCAGCCCCATGAAGAGCTTCTTAAAGTTTCGTCAGCTCACTGTGTATGTCTTTGTGTGTGCGTTTCTGTGCAATGTGGATCATAGATTTTTATGCATATTTGTTTTTAAAAGAAACTTACAAAATATTTTCCAAGTTTGTGCCATTTTTACATAAAATATCCCTAAACTTACATGTATCTCTTAGAAGTTGTGAGATGTAGTGACATCCAGTCTGATCATTTTTATGGTATTGATACTCCATGCGATCATTTCTTTCTTTCTTTTTTTTTTGGTTTTTGGTTTTTTGGTTTTTTTTGAGACAGGGTTTCTCTGTGTAGCTTTTCACCTTTCCTAGAACTCACTCTGTAGCCCAGACTGGCCTTGAACTCACAGAGATCCATCTGGCTCTGCCTCCCGAGTGCTGGGATTAAAGGCGTGCACCACCGCCACCTGACTCATGGAATCATTTCTATCTTCTTAGAGAAGCAAAAAAAAAAAAAAAAAAAAAAAAAAAAAAAAAATTCAAGTAGAAGTTTATCAAGGGAAAGTATTGTGACAAAATATTTACATATTTATGTATCCTCCCAGCTCTTTGTAAATATGCATAGCATCTCTGAAAAGGGGTGGCTTTGGCATTTTAAGAACACTGGTCAAATGCCATTTATTACATGTGCTTCCAGTGAGAGAAAGGGAGTCTCAGGACCTGTGAAGGGAGACATCCTGAGTCCTTCTCAGCATAGACACCCAGCAGAGAATACAGCACTGCATAGCACAAAGACACCAGATTTCAGAAGGAGAAAGTGCAGCCATGTTTGTCTTGGCCATTATCTACACATCTGTTCTCTTTTTTGTTTTTTCAAGACAAGGTTTCTCTGTGTAGTTTTGGCGCCTGTCCTGGATCTCGCTTTGTAGACCAGGCTGGCCTCGAACTCACAGAGATCCGCCTGCCTCTGCCTCCCGAGTGCTGGGATTAAAGATGTGTACCACCGCCGCTGCCCGGCTCTTATCTGTCCTTTTGCATAGCCTTTCAAGCACTGAACCTCACCTCTGAGACTTTCCACTTTGTGTTGCAGGCCAAAGAAGCCCTTGAAAACACTGAAGTTCCTGTTGGCTGCCTTATGGTCTACAACAATGAAGTTGTGGGGAAGGGAAGAAATGAGGTGAACCAAACAAAAAACGTGAGTTGAGCAGTATAAATGCAGTAATGGACTATAGCCATGATGGGGGCCAGCGGGTAAGACAAGACTGAGTGTGTCCTGTGGGTCAGTGTGTGTGTGTGTGTGTGTGTGTGCTCGCCTGTGCAGGCTGCAGGTGGAGGTCAAGATGCCTTCCTCTACTACTCTCCACCTTACTTTTTGAGACAGGATCTCTCCCTGCACCTGGAGCTCGTCTGTTCAACTAGGGTGGCTGGCCAGAGAACCCTAGGACTCCCCTTTACCCACATTTCCTTTCTTCTACACTGGGGTTGTCTGTGAATGTATGTCTGGGTATGTACATGGATGCTGGGGGTCTGAATTCAGGTCGTTCTTCTTTCCCAGAAAGTACTTTACCTGTGGACCCATCTCCTTAGCCCCTAGATCTTTTTTTTCTTCCTTTGTAAATGTTCATTTTTTTTTTTTTACCTGATTGTAACAGTGATACAATGCTTCTTTTTTAGATGTCAAAAATTCAGAAAAGTTCAATGAAGCTATAAAATTCTAGTAGATGATTTTCGGTTTCTACATTTGTGATCTTAGCCAAAAAGTAAGAAATTTTTTTTGTTTTTTGTTTTTTTTTTTTGGTTTTTCGAGACAGGGTTTCTCTGTGTTGTTTTGGAGCCTGTCCTGGATCTCACTCTGTAGACCAGGATGGCCTCGAACTCACAGAGATCCAGATTAAAGGGGTGGGCCACCACCTCGGGCTTGTTTGTTTGTTTTTTATTTCATTATGTTTCCCTTTTAACACTGGAGTGAAACCCAAGAAGGAATTTTGTTACATCAGAATGTCAGTGCAGGAGAACGGAGTCCATGTCTGCTTGTAACAAATTCAACCTGAAAATTGACCTTTGCAAAGAAGATCCATTTAACTTGTAATGCATTCCTTTAGCTTCTTTAAATTTTTTTTTTTCTCCTGGGGCTGGGGCAGGGAGGAAGGGCCTTCAATGTACATATTGGAGGGAAGCATAAAAGGATTGTATTGGAGAAAACATGTTTGGATAGTCAGTGGAGTAAGGTCTTCAAGCTGTCTTCAACTACATGTGTTTCAGCTTTAATAACTTGATGTATGGTGGCCCAGTTGGAAAGTTCATGGTTTAGAGCAGTGCTTCTTAAACATGGTGGCACAACAGTGCATCACTGTGGACGTGTTTGGGAAGTGGAAGTAGGTGAAAGTGCCATGCTACATTTCATGATTATAAAGTACCAGATGGACTGAAGGATAACGTAACTATAGTGCCATTGACGTGGACTTCGGTCTTACATGTTTTGAGAGCATAGAACAGTCTACTGTCAGCACCGGGGCTCTGAGGCCTTGAAAGTTCATCCATCACAACCCCAAGGTGTGTAGCCAAACTCAATTAGGAATCCAGGTGCACAAGCAGTTGTGACGGCATAAAAGCATTCAAGGCAGATAATACACACCCCGCAGTTAGAGGCTATGTTGATGCTTACCGAAGTTCTGTTTTACATAATTGCCACAGGGCCCAATTTGTATTGCATGGTTTTTTATAATGTGTTTTACATGAGAACCAAGACCAAATCCCCACTCACTTTGATTTCTCAGACACTTTGGAGTTAACCAGGGTTATTCCACTATCATGTCTCACATAGACTTGCCCCTTGAATCCAGCATAGAAAGGCTGCAAGGTGAGGAGCCCAGAGGTCGGACTGTGTGTCAACACTGCTGTGTCATTCGCCGCCCCCTTTCCCTATGTGTTTTCAGTGCATGATAAGACAGCTTGGCTTGTGTTTCTTTAGTGGTAAAAGAGCGATTTGGCCAAGATGGTTCAGTTCAACTGGTATTTATAAGAGTTGTGAGGACGCCATTTCTTAGGAATCCTGAATTGGAGGAGTCTTTGGTGTTAAGTTCTCTTGTTGTCTTGGTATGCAACCAGAACCATACCTTCTTCTATAAAGGCCTTCTGTTCCCAGTTTCTGATTCTTTGATCACCCAGACTTGTGCCTCTCTGCCATTGGCTATCACAGCATCATGGGCCAATGCCAGCTCTTTTCTCGCTATGCTAGGTGTAGCCATGCCAGTGCCTGCAGCCCCAGAGCTGTGGGAAGGCTAGATCAGAAGGTATCTAGGATTGCTGCAGCTGTGCCCCATGTTCAGTGAGAGACTCTCTCTTAAAGGAACAAGACAGAGAGTCATGGGATGGGGCACCTGACATCCTCCTCTAACTTCTGTATGCATGCAAATGGGTGGACATACCGGCACACATATGTACACATGCACTTTGTGGTGCTTTGAATAAGAATGGCCCCAGTAGGGTCAAACATTTGAAGACTTGGTTCCCAGTTGGGGACTGTTTAGGAAGGATTAGGAGGTGTTGCCTGGTTGGAGGAAGGGTGTCAGTGGGGGTGGGCTTTGAGGTTTCAAAAGCCCAGGCCAGATCTCGGCAGTCTGTTTGCTTTGTGCTTGTGGAATCAGGATGTAGCTTTCAGCTGCTGCTCCAGCACCATGTCTGCCTGCCTGCTGCCATGCTCCCTGCCATGATGATCGTGGACTAACCCTCTGAAACGATGAGCGAGCCCCCAGTTAAATGCTCTCTTCTGTAAGTTGCCGTGGTCACGGTGTCTCTTCACAGCATGGTGTAGTTGGCGAGGATCCTCTCCCATTCCGTAGCCCCTTTCTTCGTTCTGCATTTACTTTTCCTAGCTGTGTAGCAGCCCCTCAACCCGTAAATCACCTGTGCTGCTGGAAGTTTTTTCAGCAAGTTTTTGCTCATACCTATCTCTTGAAGTGGTTCCCAGTTTTCTTCCAGGGGCGAAAACATTTCAAGCTTTATATTAATATCTTTGAGCCATTTGACATTGATTTTTGTGTGGGTGAAAAAAAACAGGAGCTTAATTTGATTCATGGATGTGGAAATCCATTTTTCTCAGCACCATTTGTTGAAGAGGCTATCTTTCTTCCAATGTATGTTTTTATATGTGTCAAAGATCAGGTGGTTATAGCTATGTGGATTAATTTTGGGTCTTCTATTTCACTGATCTAATACCTACTGTTTTGTCACTATGGCTCTGTAGAGTAATTTGAAGTCAGGTATTATAATATATTCCTCCAGAATTGTTCTTTTTGCTTAGGATTGCTTTAGCTATTCAGAGTCTTTTGTGATTTCATATTAAGGTTAGAATTGTTTTCTTATAGTTTTGCAAAGAATGCGATTAAAATTTTGATGGGGATTGCATTGACTTTGTAGGTTGTTTTCGGTAATACAGCCATTTTCACAATATTAATTTTGTTAATCCATGCTTATGGGCAGGCTTTCTGTTTTCTATTTTCTTCAATTTCTTTCTTGAATGGTTCAAAGTTTTCATTGTAGAATAAAGGTCTTTGACCTCAGCAATACAATTTACTTCTAGATATTTTTAAAAACTATTATGAAGGTGAGTTTTTTTTCCCCCTAATTTCTTTCTTGGATAGTTTGTTATTGATATATAAACAATCTACTGTTTTCATCTATGCTGATTTTCTATCCTGCCACTTTGCTGAAAGTGTCAGATGTAAAGGTTTCCTAGTGGAATCCACAAGGCTCCATAAGTACAGGATCGTGTCATCCAAAAATGAGAGAGTTTCACTTCTTCCCTTCTGATGTACATGCCCTTTATTTCCTTCTCTGGTCCTACTGCTCTAGTTAATACATTGAACACTATTTTGAATAAGAGGAGAGAAAGTGGTCACTCTTGTCTCATGGTGTGATTTTGAGGAAATGTTTTCAGTTTTTTCCTCATTTGGTCTGTTGGCTGTAGGCTTGCCATACATGGCAGTTATTATATTAAGATTTAGTACTTCTATTCTTAGTTGCTTCTGGACTTTTTTTTAAAATCATGAATTATATGAACTCTGTCTACTTCCTTTTCTGCATCTATTAAGATGATCATGCTATTTATGTCTTTAAGACTCTTTGTATAGTATATTGCACTTACTGATTTGTATATGTTGAACCAACCTTATACCTCTGGAATGAAACCAGCTTGATTGTGGTGTGTGAACTACTACATTCTTGCATTAGGTTTGTCAGAATATTGAGAAATTTTGCATCTATATTCATCAAGAAAGATAATCTACAGTTTTCTTTCTTTTCTGTACCCTCATCTGGTTTTGTTATCAGGGTAAGACTTGCATTGTAGGACTTCAGTAATGTTCTTTCCTTTTTCATTTTGTGGAACAGCCTGAGGAATATTGGTGTTAGGTCTTCCTTAAAAATCTGGTAGAATTTGGCCATGAATCCATACAGTCCTGGCTTTTCTTTGTGGGAGACTTTTGATTGCTGTTTCAGTTTCATTACTTATCATCTGTTTAATTTATCTACATCTCCTTGACTTAATTATTGATATATTACATGTGTTTAGGAGTTTGCATGAAGTTATTTTGAAGGTTTATTTTTCTTTTGTGCGTGTGTGTTGTATGACACTACACTGCGGAGATGTGAACAAATGTCGGCTCACCTCAGATAAGGAACCAGCCACAGACCAAAAGTAAGGGTATCACCAAAGCTTGGTGAACCAATTCATTTCACTTGGGTTACTTCCAAGAGCCGAAATGACTTCATGATAGCTACCCCACAAGAGCTCGCCCCAGCCTGTGTGATGGCTCATGAAAGCTGGGAATCTGAAGCTCGCCCCAGCCTGTGTGATGGCTCATGAAAGCTGGAAATCGGAAGCTCACTGCACAAGTTGCAGGCAGTTTGTCAGGTTGGAGAGCATTTCTTTCAAGCACAGTGTTCTCTTGAATCTCTGTCTCTGTCTCTGTCTGTCTGTCTCTCTCTTTGAGACAGGATTTCCCTGTGTAGCTCTGGCTGTCCTGGAACTCACTCTGCAGACCAGGCTGGCTTTAAACTCACAGATATCCGCCTGCATCTGCCTCCCGGGTGCTGGGATTAAAGACATTTGCCACCACCACCGGGCTTTAAGAGTGTCTCTTATCAGCCCTTACTGCTTATATGTAATTGGGGAGGGAGGGGGTATCTAGTATATCTAGTCAGTTTCAGTGACTTCCTGAAGCCTTTGAGTTGTTTACTTCCTGTGCTTAAGGAGATTCCCTACAAGATGGAATGTTTTAAGAACAGTGGTTTTGAACTTATAAGTCACAACCCCTTTGAAGGGTCAAATGACCCATTCACAGGGGTTACCCAAGACCATCAGAAAACACAGGTATTTACATTATGATTTATAACAGTAGCAAAATTACAATTATGAAGTAGGAAGAAAATAATTTTATGGGTAGGGGTCACCACAACATGAGAAACTATATTAAAGGGTCACTCACAGCATTAGGAAGGTTGAGAACCACTGTCCTAGAGCATCCTGTGTCTTAAGGAACTATGTTTAAAGTAGAAGCTTTATCTCAGAGGAAACTGGTACAAAACTCTGTGTGTGTGTGTGTGTGTGTGTGTGTGTGTGTGTGTGTGTGTGTGCACGAGTGCAGCTGAGTGTATGTATATGTGTGCAGGTGCCTTCAGAGGCAGGAAAAGAGTGTTGAAGCTCACTGGAGTTACAGGCAGTTGTGAGCCACCCGGTGTGGGTGCTAGAAACTGAACTTCTGCAAGAGCAGCAAGTGCTCTTAATCTTTGAGCCGTCTTTTTACCCCTGCATCAACACTATTTTAATAAGGGGAAAGGAGATGACAGGTACCTAAATAGCATCATGCCACACTGTGCTCGGTGTGACTCAGGTTGTTCTGGGAGCTGGAGAGGAGGTAACGGTAAACTCCAGTTTGGACACAGGATCCCAAGCTTGCTTGAGACCAACAATGCCTCACTGTCAGGATTCAGATTCCAGTGTGATCGATTCCACATGCTGGGCGATTTCTCCTGTAGCAGGCTCTCTCCCGTGAACTATCTGAAATCTCGAGTCTATGCTGCTTTAGAGCTGGTTGCTTATAAAATCTCATCTCCTGCAGTGTACATGATGGTCTTCTAGTGGGCTCAATGAAGATCTGCCTTAGAGTGAGGTCAGTTGACAATCTATCTGAAACTAGAGCACAAGCTTGTGAAAATTCCAGCCCTCCCTTAAAATATTCAGAAACCATAGACATCTTTTTTTTTTTAGACTTATTTTCTCTGTAATATTTTAATGAAAACTTTCCCCCAAGGTCCATGTGAATTTCACTAAAACCGTAGCAGAGTTTATATAATATCTTAGATTAGGCTTCCCCATTGGTGAGGTTATGGTATTTAACTGGGAAACCACTAAGGACATTCTGAAACCTAATGCTCCAATGCAGGCAGACATGAGAGGAATGCTTTTTGAATTTATGTTTTGCATATTTTAAAGACGTCAGCTGAATGAAGTGAACAGTACCAATGCACATCTCTCTCTTTCAAGGCTACTCGGCATGCTGAAATGGTGGCCATTGATCAGGTCCTGGACTGGTGCCGTCGACACAGCCACAGTCCTGCCGAAGTGTTTGAACACACCGTGCTGTACGTCACCGTGGAGCCGTGTATCATGTGTGCCGCTGCCCTCCGCCTCATGAGTATCCTTTGGCTTCTGGGTTTCCTGTCTGCACCTTGCCTGTGAGCAAGACAATGGCCAGATACTTAACTCATTTTCTTCTCTTTTTACCATTGGTTTTTCTTTCCGATGCTGAGGATTGAAGCCAGGCTTTTGCACATGCCAAGTGTATGCTCTATCATGGAGCTATACCCTCCCCAGCTTTCAGTTTCTTAATGTGTGGAGACAGTTAAGAAACACATTGTAAAATTTAGAAAGAAGCAGGAAAGATGGTTGTTTTACACAGTAAAGTTACCTATTCTTTCTCTGTATCAAGAGCCACGAAACTATTGAACCCATAAGCTACAGAAGGAAAAGCTTGGAACTAACTTAAACTCTTGTGTAAGGGTGAATCCAAGTTAAGTTAGAGCATAGGACACATTCTGAGGAATGTGCTTTGCCCTTGGATGACAGATTATGGGTAATTTAAATATTTTCTGTTAATCTGTTTTTGTTGTGAATATCTATCACAAAGTAAAAAAAAATGAAGTTCAAGGTAACGAAGAAGTGAAAATGTCACCTGATATTATCATTATACATGTATGGAAATTAGTAAGTTAGTGTTCTGTAGTTGGATTGTGTCTTGCGTAGAGTGAGCAACATATATGCTGGGTGCAGTCGGTCTCTAAAGTTTATTTATTTTACAACACTGAGAGCCTTGTGGATGCTAGGCAAGCACTTCTTCATTCTTACATTTTCACTTGCTTTTAAAATTAGGTGTGGTTTTAGCACTTAATACAGAGGGCCTTTTGGGTACAATAAAGCATACTATCTCCTTGTAAGCGGAGTTCTTGACACCATTATTAGAGGAGTTATTAAGCCGGTTTCCTCACCCTGCCTTGCAGAGAGAGAGAACAGGGACCAACGTGGCTGGGTTTTGGCTTTTGTTTGGGTGATTATTTTGCTTTGGTTTCTTCCTTTTGTTTTGAGACTGGCTCTCACGTAGTCCAGGCTGGCATTGCACTCACAGTATGGTTGGCCTTAAGATCTTGATTCTCCATCTTCGAAAGGCTTGGACTGTAGGCACATGCCACCACGCCAGGCTACCACCCACATTTTTACATTTTAATTACGTTTATTTATTTATTGTGAGGGGCATGGGCATGCCATGGCGTCTGTGTGGCAATCGGAGGACAACTTTCAGAAGTCCAGCCTCTTCTTCTACAGTGGGTTCCAGGGGTGGAACTACCTATTTTAAGAGGTGAAATTGTTGAACTGAATTTCTAACTCTGCAATGATTCTGGAAAAGTGATTTTGGAAAGAGCAGAGAATTGACTAAAGTGAGTAAAAATACCCAATCTCTGTTCTGTTTACAATAGCCAGGTTTTCATCTTTTTAAAAAATGTATAGGTTATTATTATGTGGGCAAGCACATGCCATGGCATACATGTGAAGGTCAATTTGAGGGGCTGGTTCTCTCCTTCCACCATTGCGTGGGTTCCAGGGATCAGGCTTAGCTTGTCATGCCTGCATGGCAAGGGCTTTTACCAGCCGAGCCATCTTGCTGACGACCCACGCGATTGCTAGATTTTGATCTCTAAATACTTAAAACCTCTTTCTCTTCATTTGTATAATTGAATTGTATTATTTTCCACCGCAAACTTTGTTTTGAAGTCTAGACTGAACTCTCTAAGGTAGTTAGCATCAGCCTACTCTTGCCATGATTCTATACACCCCGTGACAGACTTTAATTCTATACTATAAATCCCGCTGGTTGTCTATGGCTGCCAGAATGAACGGTTTGGCGGTTGTGGTTCTGTCCTAAACATTGCCTCTGCTGACCTACCCAATACCGGGAGACCGTTTCAGGTAATATAATCTGCTTATACCCTCCCTCCCTCCCTCCCTCCCTCCCTCCCTCCCTCCTTCCCTCCCTCCTTCCTTCCCTCTCTCCCTTTCCCCCCTCCATCCCTCTCTCTGTTCCTATCTCCCCTCCCCTTCTTCTGTTTATCCATTTTTTGGTGGACTTGCCAGTTGTCTGTGGTCAGTGTTCTAAAAACCCATGACAGAATCCGACAGTACCTCGGGGCCCCCTGAGTTGAGTTCTTTACCTCTTACTGAAGGAAAATGTGTATTCCTTCTCTTCACTTCCAGAGTCTGTCCTGCAGGGGAGCCTGCAACTTCTCTGAACTGTTAGCTTCTCTGTTAGGGTTCACTGGCACCTTGTGTGGGCTTAGAGACTATCTTTCTGTTGGAGCAAATGCCAGCTCTGTCATGTGATGATGGAACTTGCCTGCCTCGGCGACTGGGATGCTATTCACAGCCAACAGTATTTAGGCACAAATTCTGTCACTCTGTCACATCCCATTATTAGTATCTAGTTGCCATTGCAACTTCATTATTTTTAGATGCCTCTTAATGTTGAGACTTCCCCTAGACCAGAGAACCTGCATGTCCTTCAGCTGCTAGAGATTCCACTTTCCTCTGAACTTCTGTCACACTCTTGGAAGTTCTGTTGAAACTGTAAACATTAGGAATCTACATGTTGGGATGCATACCCATTTTTCTATACTGATTCATTCTCCAAGTTGGAGAATTAATCTGAAGGCATTATACTCGAAAAAAGAATCAGTAAATGCTGGAGTTTCCCTTGAAAACCTCACGTGTTCGTAGGCTGTGGTGAGGACTTACAGAGCCCTAATCCTGCACAGAGCAAGTTTTGGAAAGCATTCTGCCTTGAATTTTCCAGCTGAGTGTAAACTCTCCTAGCCACTGTTGTATTTAAGAACAGATGCCTTTAACATCACATCAGAAAAAAAAAAAACAACTGTAACAGAGTGGTAGGAGTAAATGAGGTTGATTATTAAAGATGTCTGCAAAGTGACTTCATTTTTCCAGTCATTTCTGGGAGCCGCCCAAACATTGCTTATATAATTCTTTACACATGAATTGCTGGCTCTGTACATACGGTACTTCCTTTATGAGAACAACCTAAGTAATTTCTCAGAGTTTCTGGACAAAACTACGATGTGTCCCTAGGGGTCGGAGATAGGTGGAACTTTGCTCTCTAAGATATAGATGAGGAGACTGCTCGGTCAGTGGGGAAAGTGTTTGCCATGCAGCGTGAGGACCCGAGTTTGGGTCCCCAGATCCCCCTGAAGGCTAGATGCGGAAGGGGGTATCTGGAATGGAATCCAGGGGTCCTGTGGTGAGATGGGATACAGACACAAGGAGAGTCCTGGCCTGCTAGCCTGCTGCACTTCGTGTCAAACAAGAGACTCTGTCTCAGCAAGGTGGAATGTGAGGGCAGACACTTGAACTTCCGTTCTGGGCTCCACTTGCCTGCTAGCCTGTACACGTACGTACGCACAACACACACACACACATACACACACACACACACACACACACACACATAAAAATAAAAAGAATGTTGATGTCATGAAGTCTTGAACGGTTCTTTTTCAACCTGAAAGGTTAATTTACAGTTCATCTGTACGGCCATGTTGGCTCAATGGAAAATGAATGCCTATGGTTTGAAAGCATAGGTCAAGGTTTAATGCCAAGTGATGTTCTAAGGAGGTCTTATGGAGTGCTAACGCCTTGGCATCCCAGGCTTCTGGATGCTGTGTTTTCTTCCTTTCCTTTGGCTGAGCTCATGGGACAATGGACAAAGGGAGATGGGGTTTCACCTCAGAATTATAGGTTCTTTTTATATAATACTGTGTTATAAGCGATATAAAATTCAGAGAAACCTGTGGAACTACTGTTTTAAAAAATGGTTATTCATTTTTAATATCGCTTCTGTTTAAAACATTTATAAGAATATTTTTGTTAAAAGATATGCATGTGTAAGCTCTAGTGGGTACTTTAGAATGCTATCATGATGTCTAGACCCATACATAGTTTTTATTATTTTTTTTTCCCACCTCCGTGTTTCTCCATGTCTCTCCTTGGACCACATGTGAGAATCTCCTGGAGGGCTTTTGCGTTTCTCTGTTCTCAGATCCTGGGTCAGAGGAATAAAAAGGCAGGGGCGAGCGTCAGTGCTTGGGGAGGGTGCCCATGTGATTGCCCTGAACAGCAGTGATGGAGAAGCGCTGCTTTGCCAGCCCCTGGGGAAGAGGGTCTGGTGGCTTCAGATGGGGGACATTTACAGACGGCAGGCGGAGGTGCTGGAAGGCTCCAGTCCCTGCACACCCTGACCGACAGCGGTTAGGATGGTGGGCTGAGAAACCAAGGGAGGAGAGGATTCGAAATGAAGCGTGTGTGTGTGTGTGTGTGTGTGTGTGTGTGTGTGTGTGTGTGTGTGTGTGTCCAGTCGTCACGTGACCACAGAGCTGTGCGGGGAAGGAGACCGTGTTTCCATCCGTGAGTGCTTGAGAGGCAGCTGCGGTGGCGTCTTGAGAGCCTAAGACCGTGAGGATGAGAGGAGGAAATGAGACGGAAGGTGAAGTCTGGAATGTTCTGAGGCAGTACTCGGGGAAGGGTCGATCGTTCTCAGCAGAGCCCCAGAGAGGCTGCCCCTCCATTCGAGCGTTTGGCCCCGTCTCGTATGTTTTTAATTTCTTCCCCCTCCCTACCGAGCCCTTCAGCCTGCTTCCACACACACACAACCCCCACTTCCCCCCTCTCTCCGAAAAGTGCGCTTCCTTGCTTCTGTCCATGTTCCGTTTCGTCTTTATCCCGTATTTCACTCATTGTTCTTGACAGTTCTCACTTCTTACTTGTTCTTTCACGTATTTTCATCTCTCCTGCCCAGATCCCAAAGTAAAAACAAACTCAACTGTTTTCTTAAATCCTCCGCAGAAAAACTTGAAAAATGTTTCCTGTAGAGGACCGGATAGTAAATATTTTTAGCTCTTGTGAGAAACATAGTCACATAGTGACGATCACATAGTGTTTTCTTTAATAATTAAAAAAAAAAAACTCTTAAAAGTATAAAAACGATTGTCAGCTTGTCATTCTTAGCTGTGGACTGGATTTGTTCTACCAAGGATAGTTTACCTGCCTTAGGTGAACAGCATCCCGTGCTTGGTGAAACGCTAGGAGATAATAGCATGTCAAAATAGCTCATGCTTCATGAGTACCTGCTTAGCATCTCATTTATTCAGTACAGCATCCCTCTGTAGTCCTGTTACATACCATGGAGAGTTTAAGTACCAGCAAGAGTGACCGATTGGGAGAGACGCTGGGCTAAGGCTGGGAGCCCATTCTTTTGGAAATGTGCATTTTTTAACCATGCTAGTATTTGTCCCGAGGAATGAACGTTGTGTGCAGCCTGTTCATATCGTTGTAATTGTACATACAATTGCTGTTGGGGTGTAACCCCCACACAGTCCCTGCCGATGCTCACCTCATGTCCCTCCCTTCCTCAGTGCGTCCCCGGATATCGTGCTGAAGAGGCCGTGGAGCTCCTAAAGACCTTCTACAAACAAGAAAACCCAAATGGTCAGTTTTCTTCCAGAGCACAGGGTCCCACCTTAAAACACCTCGCTCGGTGTGAGCCAAGTTTGGCATTATTCATTTTCTGCTTCTCTGTCTTTTTTTTTTTTTTTCTTTTCAGCACCCAAATCAAAAGTTCGGAAAAAGGATTGTCAAAAATCTTGATGTTCTGATGAAAGACTGGTGCCCTTTGGAGACTTGGACAGAACTCCCGACTGAGAGCCGTTGGCCTTGCTGGTCATGTTTATATGTCGTTGTTATCGTGTGGGAAAATGGTGTCTCTTGTCATGTCATTTGCTCTGTTAAGGGACCAAGTGAGCCCTTTCTTGGTCCTAAAGCCTGACAGATGTCAACAGCGATTAGCTCTTCCCAAGCTGAGAGAGTGTTTCAGGAATGGGAAGAATTAAGGTTTGAGGTCACAGAGATCAGCAAGCTAGTGCCCGACCTTCAGCCACAGCTTTAGCCCCAATGTCTTCTTAGGGAGCTCTTCGTGGCCTGGGGAGATGGCTAAGTGATAAAGTGCTTGCCATGCAAGCAAGAGGCCTCCATCCCCATGAATGCCACCTGGGCTGGGTGGCCTGCCTGGGGCCTGCCTGTAATTCCAGCGCTTAGAAGGCAGAGTTGGGCTTCCGAGATCCCAAAGCAGGCTAACTAGTTAGGTTAGCCCTTCTTGGTGGGGTCTGTGTTCAAGTGAAAGATACTGCCTCCATGAGTAAAGTGAAGAGTAATCTAGAGGGACCTCCCCAGGGTTCAACCTTAGACCTCACACATGCATCCCCCCGCCCCCCCCCCCCCGACACAAGTGCACACACAGGATGCAAATACATACATCACACATTAACACCACACACGTACACATGCAAGCCAAAAAAAAAAAAAAAAAAAGACAAGTCTTTGGAAGATTGATTAAGACACCAACAGGAAGTAGAAGAAGGAAAGAAAGCCTTGGACTTTTACTGAGTGCGTTCAGACCCAGTCCCGCACAAGACTCCGCCTGGGCTCGTGCTAATTTGTAATATGACTTTCTGTCTATGACCATGCATGTTGGGGATTCATGTGTGGGTGTGGAGGCAAAGGACAATCTCAGGTCCCTCTCCTTAGATGTAGTCCCTTCCTCTTCCTGATGTTTTTGTTTGTTTGTTTTTAAGGCTAAGTTTCTTATTGGCCTGAAATTTACCATTCAGCTAGGCAGGCTGGCCAGGAATGCTCGGGATTCCACCAGTGTCCTCTAGTGCAGGAATTACAGGCAGGCACCACCCACCACGCTCTCCTCCTCCCTCCCTCCCTCCCTCCCTTCCTTCTTTCTTTTAAACATGAGTTTTGGTGACTGAACTCAGGTCCTTTTGCCACTATATACTGTCATATCTCTCCAACCCTAGAACATTCTTTTTTAAAGTAGTCAGAGAAAAATGGATGCTTTTTAAAGTAAGTGCTTAAGGGTCATTTTTAAATCATAGCATATTGGTACAATAAAGTTTTATTCATGCCTTCTTTGAAGAGGAGTAGTCTTAAATTATTGGTGCTAGAGGGATGGCTCAGGGGTTAAGAATATATACTGCTCAGTCAGAGGGTACATGTTCAGTTCCCAGTACCTACATTGGACAACTCACAATCTCCTGTAATTCTAGCACCAGGGGTTCTAATACCCTCTTCTGGACTCCATGGGCACCTACACTTACATGTGCACACATTTCTACAATTCACACACACATGCACACTCACATAATTAAAAAACTTTTTAAAGATAAAATTGAAAGTGAAGTAGTTCCTTATAATAGAGCAACTATTCTGTTAACGTCCATATCTTCCCTGGAACAAAATGAAGATGTTATGCTCTCAAAGCAAAGACCTTGTATTCTCACGAGAGATAATTGAAAACTTACATGGCTTGCTGGAGAATGATAGGTGCTGCTGGGCGTAATGGTGCTCGCTATAACTCCAGCACTGGGGAGGTCAGAGCAAGAGGATCATGAATTCAAGGCCCAAAATTACAGCCCATTGATACTTGGACTAAGAATGCAGGAATGGCGGCTACAGGATTGAATACAATCACTCTTTCAAACACAGCTGATAAAATTTAAATCAGTAGCTAAAAATTTGCCCTCACAACAACATCTCCCAGAAGGGTCACTGATGCCAGATAGGGCTTTTCTGAGCCTCCCTGGGCGCAGTGCGCGTCTCTGCCCAACAGGGGGCGTCGCCGTTCCACCGCAGGGCCAGCGCCAGCGCCGCCGCAGTGGAGTTTCTTAGGCGCATTCAAGTCCTTGATGCAAAGCGGCTGTGTTTGTTGACTCTGCCATTTGAGCGCTGTCTCCGACTTGTTTGTTTTGAATTACATTACAGGCTGGAATGTGATTGCGGCGGTAGTATTTTTATATTGCCGGGGGGAGCCGCTAATCACAGTTACATGCTTCAGAGGATTTATAATTGCGTGGTTTTGTGCGTGTGTGTTTTTAACGGCGTTTCAGAAGTTTTATGGGCGAAGAATACGCATGATTTTAAATTTACAATAATGGTCTGTGCACCTTCTCTTCGGTTTTTATCTACTCTAAAAATTGTCTTCTCATTAAATTTTAGTGCCTTGACTAGTGTGTTCCTTTTTGCAGTTGGTCATAATTCACTTCTGGCTCCTGTGCTTTCTTGCAAGCAGACATCATTACGTTTATTGACTTCATATCATCTTCTGGGTATTATCTGTAGGCAGAGCAACCCCGGGATCTCTCCTCTGTAGAGTACCACCGGGTCATTCTGGCTGTGGGTTCATGGTGAACTTTTGATAAAGTGATTAGCTTGAATTTAGGGAGAAATGAATAAAAAGACTAAGGTAAAAGTATAGAGCCAGAAATAGTGTGTAGATAACACCAGAAAATAAAGCAGGGAGCGTGTTTTCCCTTTTCGGTTTTAGCAGATGGCTAAGTGACATTTACTGATTCCTAAGCAGGGCTGAACGGTTTAATTTCCCTTTACCACCTTTTATGTTCTCTTCCCAGTCACTGACAGAGCTTTTGGACACAGGCATAGTTTCCTTTGGGAAAATCGCTGTAGATCGATTGCTGTAGATTAGGCAACGGCACTGCCCCTGCTGGGGCAGGTTACTATGGATGTGATGTCATAGCCACCAAATCTGCAGAATTCAAACACGATGTCCATGTGATGCTGAGGAACTGTAGATACATATTCAGTGAAACAGTCTTGAGCACTGTTCTCTCCATAGCTTAAAATGTTAAAAGTGTCCAGCTCAAAAGCTCACATCCAACGGAACCATACTGGTTGTGCCGGAGGAAGAGACCAAGAGTCATTCTTTGTGCTTGGGATAGGAAGGCGCTGGACACAGACAGGCTGCAGAGCCACTGCCCTGTTAAGAGAAATTAGGGGGAAATGGTTCCAGGACCCAGTGTTTGCTGGGGTTTGGTAGCAAATTTTGAGAGTGAGTGGTATGTCAAACCTTAACAGGCTTCTGTCCGTCACTGAGGAAAGGTCATGTCAAGACCTTTCATATCTGCACTTTTCTTCCTGTGTGGTGCATCTCAAATACGGAGAACAGAGCCAGTGATCCAAATGTAGGCAAGATTGTTTTTCTACGACCACCCCCTCCCCTTACACACACCCCCCTCTTTGTGCTTTGTTTCTCATGTAGCCCAGGCTGGCCTCAAACTCACTGTACAGCTGAGGGTGACCTTGAATCTTGCTGCCTTTACTAGAGTGCTGGGATTGCAGGTGATTGCCCCTGTGCTGGGTTATGAGTGCCAGGGAATCAATCTCAGGGCTTCATGAATGAATGCTAGACAAGCACGCCAGCAACTGGGCTACATCCATAGCCCGCCCTTCCTTATTTTTTTTTTTTTTGAAGGTTTTACATCATACATCCTCACAGCCGCCCTTTACCCTGAAGCACTTCAGTATTTAAGCATAAAGTGCTCTCAGGTGCCATCATCACGCTGTAATTAATGATCCATCGAGTTAAATGCTCACGTACTTTACTCTAGCTTGGGTGTTCTGGTCCCGTCAGCTGGCGCCGCTAAGCCCTGGAGAGAATTTCCTTCAGCCTCCTAAACCCGGGTCCGCCCTAGGGCTCCCTTACACTTAGCTCTTGTATCTTCATCTCCTTCCAGCCTAGAACATTTCCTTTGCCTCTCACATTGCGGCTGTTTCCGTTCCACAGTGCTCGCCGTGGGCTCCGGGGTCTAGCCCAAGCTGCGGGTGCACTGCTCTCCCGATGAACCATACCTCCAGGGTCTGGTCCAGGCTGCGGGTGCACTGCTCTCCTGCTTAACCACACCTCCTCCACTGACATTTTTTCATACCTGTCCATCCCCCCCCCCCCCCCCCCCCCCCCCCCCCCCCCCCGCACCATCACTACATCTGCTGCTTTGTCATGACTGCCCTCTTCCCGACAACAGACTGGTCTTTTCATTGGGCGCTTTCTCATCTGGAGGTACACAAAGGCCAGCAGAGACTGACTGGAACCGACATTCATTTGGCCACTTGGTTAAGATGTCTGATTTATTCACTATATACTCAGTTTTTTCCCTCTTGGCTGCAGCGAATGAGCAGTCTGTGGGGAAAGGAATTGTAATGTGTTTTATAAGAAAGTATGTTCGACATGGATGGAAGGGAGGGAAGGAAAATTAATTGTAAATTCAAAAGCAGCTGTTGAATTATTTGATTTCATTTTTTTCCTCTTTAGTGTGTGTCCCAAAATTCATAAAAAAAATTTTTTTTTGGTAAGAATATTTTAAACAGCACACTGTCAATAAAAATTAAAAGGAAGCCCCAGGACTAAGTACTTCCTCTCTAGACTCCCTCCTCAGTAAAAGAAATAATTATGTAAATTCCGCTATAACTAATAGGGTTGTGGGAAAATGGTCCAAGGTATTTCTGACATCACAGATGGTCTGTGGTAATGCAATAGGACATTGAATTCTAGGCTGGTAATCACCTGGCCATAAAATATAAAGTTGTTTGTGTGTGTGTGTGTGTGTGTGTGTGTGTGTGTGTGTGTGTGTGTGTTTCCATAGAGACATCTTGAGGGGTAGGTAAAAACAAAAGCTAAGACTCTAAAATAATTTTTTTTCATTTCTTTTAAAAGCAGTGTATATTCTCTGGGTTTTTTTTGTTTGTTTGTTTTTTGGTTTTTTTTTTTAAAGCCCCAGGGAAGCCAAAGCCCGTCTTGCCTGGTTGTTCCACATCAGCTGACCTCGAGTAGGCCTGACGAGCAGAGACATGAGCAATTGATT